GCCTTGATTTCCTCAAGCTTTTTGCTTCGTGACTGGCCTTGCACATTGGATGGTCATTTCCCGCGTGCTGCCCAAGTCTCGAGGGGATATACGGAGTATGCAGTATGGAGTTACGGGTATGGAATAAATGATGGATCTCCAGCAAGAAACGGTCGGGATAAGAACAGGCGGAGAAGGCAGATTTGAGTAATTTTACGTAGATAGCCCCAAGGACCGAGGTCCCTGCTCGAGGCTCACTTTCATACATGTCCTCATCTCTCTGTTTGATTAGAGAGTTACATATGTAACCTGTTGGCTTGAGATTTCACCGCCCCGGAGTGTCCGCATGATGAATCATGGATCCAAGGCGCACTCGACCAGCGTTCCTGATCCTCCAGAAGCCGTCGTAGTGTGCCCGCCGAAGTTATTATTGTTCTCCCACCACGGAGTAGACTTTCTCCCATCCCTGGAAGACTCGCGATCCACTTCTCTAAAATCCCGGTTGCGCTGCTGAAACAATTAGGTTGGACAGAGAGCCAATTGCGGCCCCTGTTCCCCCGGCAGAGCGAGCCAGAGCCAAGCAGGGCCGTGAGATCGACCCGTGGGAACTTCAGCGTCAACTCTCCAGGTGGACGGAGTGTGTGGACTGCAAACACGAAGGATGGACTCTGGCCCTGCGCAAACGCGAATGCCGGCGAGTAGCAGGAGAGGCCGGACGTGCTGCTGGATCACAGTGCAAAAGAGACGAGCCGCTGGACCGCCGTCTCTTGCGCTGGAGGCCCGCGGATTACGTCGATGATTCACTTAGCGAGTTGCTTCCAATGCAGCTGGCGAAAGGCGAGTTGGTGTGTCCCTTGGCATCGGTCACTCAGCAGCGGCCACATCGAAAAAAAGAGAGCTTGACTCCTGGGTTCGTCCGCCATCCCATCGTCGTCAATCCCAACCACCGTCGAGCCATTCTCCCTTGATCCCACTGTCATTACCAGCCCCGTTCGCTTCCCTCGTTGTCGACTGTCGGTTCCTTTGCTTCTCTCCCGTCCACCAGCGTTGCGGTCCTTTCTCCCTGCTTGGACCGAGTTACGTAGCCTCCACGTTTCCGCGCCGATCCCCATCTGCATAGGACCTTTCGTATCTCGCGGCGACGACCTTCTCCCCCAACGATACGGACGCACAATGGTTTCGACGGCGTGAGGACGTCTTCTTGATCCCGCTCTCGTCGTTGCACCCAGCTTATCCGTACCGCATCTGTGCCCCGGGCGCAGATGGAGGTCGGGTTGAGGTCCGCACAACTAGTTATCTGAATGAGGGTATGCTGCATGAATGTGCTCTCTTCTCCCGCTCAATGAGCCATTGAATCCCATTCTTTAGCTGGCCTGTGCTGACTGGTGAATGGCTGCTGCTCTCTTGTAGTGGGAAGCTTTTGTTGGCGACATCCGCATTCTTTGTACATTAATTCCTGCTCTTTTGCCTGTGAGTCCAGAGCCGGCCTGATCTATCCAAACGTCAACATCGCATCGCAACATTGTATCACACCATCTCATCGCCGCGGCGATGAAGTTTCCGCCATCTTCCGCCGAGCTTTGCTGCACATTTTTTCTGTTCTCTCTTCCCTCTTCCTCTTCTTCCTCCTCTTCTTCCTCCTCTCCATCCTTTGTTCATCCCCGCTCCTTCGTTTCTGCTGTGGCCATCATCCGTCGTTGACTCGTTTCCCCGTCCCAATTCTGCCTTCGTTTTTGAACACCTGCCCGTATATCACGTCAATCATTTGAAAGCATCCCCTGCTAATTGTGAAAAGTGACCCCTCGTTACCACTTTTAGCCGGCTTCTTGTCTTCCGAGATCAAAACAGAAATTTGGCCTTGAACAATGGCTTCAGCCCTGTTCTTCGCGTTCTTATATGTCCTCGCTCTCTTGCAGGCATGTGCTCCCGTCAGTGGGATTGAACTTATTTACTGCTCGTCCATGAATACTGGATCGAACTTCGACACCGGTGAGCTTCTTGATGCATTGTCTCTCGATGCCATTGGCGTGGCTGTCAATGAAGGCTGACCCTGTCATAGTTATTAGCGACTTTCAATCAAATGGAGCATGTCGTGAGACATGTATTGGGGATTATGCATTTGCAATTTTGCAAGGCAAATCGTGCTGGTGCTCTGACGCTGCTCCGGGTGATACTACCGATCTCAGCGACTGTAGCGATGGTTGCCCTGGATACCCCAAGGACAAATGTGGAAACAGGCAAAGGCGCCTCTTTGCTTACATCCAGCTTGATAAAAAACCTTCCACCACCATTGGCGGTTCAACCACTTCGTTGGTTAGTAGCCCTGGTTCCCTTGGACCCTCGACAATTACCACCCCAACTTTCATTTCAGATTCCTTTTCCAGTTTGTTCTCAACGCGTATCCATTCTTTGGCGACATCGCTCTCGGTTTCGAGAGTCGTTCCGTTGCCATCTGGGCAACCGGGCTCCAGTGCCCAAGACATTTTGAGGACCATTTTAACCACTCTTATACAGACTGGTTCTCCTGCTGTTTCTTCATCAGAAACAGCAAGTTCTTCTTTTCCTTCTTCGACTGTGGACCGAACAACGGTCACAGTAACGCAATCGCATGAGGAAACAACCACTTTTCTTACTATAAAGTCTTCCTCAGTATGACCCTTCCAAAAGGCCCACTACCCCTCCCCCTCTGCTGCTTGCGTGTCTGTTTTTGGGGATGGCTTTGTGCTGTGGTTTCCACAGTCTTTTGATGGCAATTGTCTAACGAGCGTTTTACACCAGGCGACCACCGAGCCGACAACTTCCCAAACCCCGGTTGTTTCTACGGAAACTGTTCCTGGAGGAATTGCAACAATTACAATTCCGAACAGCTTCCCTAGCCACACGACAGAACCTTCTCGGGGTGCACAGGGCCTCAACGGTGGTGAAATTGCTGGAATCGTCATCGGTACCTTGGCCGGCGTTGGCTTGCTTGTTGTTGCTGCTTTCTTTTTATACAGGTGGCACCAACGCAAACAGCCTGCTCCTCAAGACCCGGATGCGGATTTCTTGAACCCTTACTTCGAGCGACCAGTTCCAACACCGATTTTCCACCCTCCTCGTCAAGGCCCAAATAACAAACGCATTCCAGCAACTCTTACTGTTCCATCCTCGAGTGATACGCGCTTGAAGAATGGCATTTACGCCAATGGAGGTCGCCGTAGCAATATCTCGCTGCAGGATAACCAAGACTATTCCCGACCTGTCTTGCGTGTAAGTTTTAGGAACCGCCAGCCTTCCTTTCAAGAGACCCAATAGCTAACCCATGAATTCCAGTTGACCAACCCTGACCCTCCCGAATCCAACTAATTGGAACAACCTTTTACCATACCCCAGACGTGATTTGTCGTTTCGCGGAAACAATCACTCAATATTCCACTTTATGGTAACCGGCGACACCTTTATCATGCCTTTTCCTTTTCCACAGTGGTGCATTCCGGCTAGATGGCGTCGCTCGGGCTCTTCATTTCTTCGAATACCCAACGTATCAACCCATGCTTTTGACGACCAACTTATCTTGAGCTCTTGAAATTATCGTCTGTTAATTTGATCAATTTGGTGCATTTTCTTTTCCGTTTTTACTCGCCCAGAGGATTATCCCTGCATATTCATTGTGGTCGAAATCAATTTCCGCTTCTTTCACATGATTATCAATGGATTTGTCTCTTCGATTTCGTTTTCATTTTCAACATTGGGCATCTGGGTGAAACCGAAAAAAAGTCTTTTACAATCCTGGCGTCGGCGGAACAGTGTTTAGCAATGGTTGGCGGTGCGCCGGAGTGCCGGGTTTCCTATTCTGTATTCTGGTTCATATCGGGTTTCTGCTTTCCATTACGCGGCAAGGAATCATGGGAAGCAAACTATTTAGCGATGGGTTCTAGTTTCCTCTCGTGTCTTATGCTGGATTTGATTTCCGTTTGCATGTACTCTCCCAACTGCTTTGCTGTATTTCGCGATTCACACGCTCTGGTTTATTTCACCTGTATAGAGTCCAGAAAGCTAAGTGAATCGATTGCTATTTCAAAACAAGTGCACGTCCTCGGTTCTACAAGTAGTTCGAGAGCAGGTATGAAACAACTGAGGGAGCGACCCCCAGGACATTAATATAAAAGGGTTCCTTATCACTATGAAAACAGCTTTGTTGCCGCTCTGATGTTGGAAAGCGGAGTCTTAGTCATCGTGCTTAAAGCCGCCCCAGGATACCGTCCAGCTTCTGCCACCAGTTTCGCTCAGCGGCAATGAGTGATGGATCGGATTATCTACCTTGACTGACTCCGGGAATTGACCCTGGTGCTTGGATAACTAATGGCATTTATGTGGTTCTCAGGCAAACGCCACAGGCTTCCCTCTCTTGATTTGTCGGGATACTTTTGCCCCTTTCGGCCTCTATCCATCTTTTCCCAATCGGGAGACGAGATCCTCGGGAACCCAACGTCCCGCCTCTCTGTGCCCTGAGAAAAGATGTCGCTGTCTGATGCTGGGCTGAGCCCGAGTTTGATATGTCTCGTTTCATTGATTATCTCGTCGGAATACCCATCTTGATTCGGTAACTAGCTGGCTACTTTACACCTGTCGGCCAGTAGGGGTCCATTGCCGGCTGCACTACATGGTGCGGGGAAGTGGTGAGATGGCGCATTGGTGCTCCCCATGGCGGTCTTTTGACTGCCGCGGAGTGAAATCTTCCCAGCCCATGCTCAGGAGGAGAAGCTGGCTATACGAGTGTATCGCTAGCTTACCCTGGGGATGGCACATGGCTTATCTTGCCTGGATTGGAAAATAAAAGTGTCCTGATACCGCACGTTGGACGAGCAGCTATATGTACTATACTCCGTCCCGTTTTTGCATTACACTGAGTCCATTTTACCTTGCGCAATCTTGGATAAAACGCGGACCAGCTCTTTTGATACATTGATTTGGCCTTCCCAAAGTCAGACTCTCTTCTATGCTACTCTTTGCTTCTGGCCCTCGGTGCGTTACAGCTTCTGCGGCAAATAAGCGCCCACTCCCCTCATACCTTCAGCCGCTGGGGTGAATTGCCATTTACGGCTTCGTCCCATCCCTGATACTTTACAAAGGCATCTGACTGTGATACAACAAAGTAGATGACCGACTTGATATATTATATGCATATCGATCAATTGCCCTTGGGAGGCCTTGCTCGACCTCTGTGAAGATAGGCTACTATCCTTAAAGGCTCAGAGACTCCAACCGTGACGTGTGAATCAAAATCCACTTCTTGGCCCCTGATAGAGCGGCACGATCCTTCGATAGCTATGGACAACCCAATGCTGGTCTTGGGAGGTGTCCTAGTTGCGGCTACTGCGACGTACCTATTGATAAACAAAACGCAGCGAGAGCGCCTTGTTCATGGATTCAAAGCCCGTGGCCGCAAGGCCCCGTCGAGTGGAACTCCGCCGCCAGACATTAGCCCTGAGAAGCAGCCCTCCGCACCACCATATCGCGACGTTCTTCCGCTCTTTACGCCGGGAAGCTCTCTATGATGTTGCCAAATCCCGGTCTCCCAACCAAAGATGCCTTGTCCCCAAAGGACTTGAGCGATGCAGACGTGGTACAATCAATCCTGCCAATGAACGAAAACTATCAAACTTGCACGGAAGTCAAGTTTACTCCTCCAGGTTTCTCAACAGAGGAGATAAAATCTATGGGCAACTTTCCTGATTATGCAACCTTGAGCGGTATTCCCCTCCCGGAAGCGTATAAGGAGTTTGATATCGACAAAGCTTTACCCAGACCCTACCGGCCGTTCAGGTGGAATTATCATCAGACGATGTGTAAGTTTCAAAATTGAATATATTTGAGATCAATAATCGGCTAACGTGGACATGAAGCACTGACGAAAATGGATTCGGATTGGTGGCTCGAGCTCGAGAATACATACAGAAGCCGCATTGCGCAGCGAAAAGAGCTGCACGCTCAATATGGAAAGACTGTTCTCGATAAGATGCCAGGCTCGGAGCTAGCTTGCAAGGAACTTATGGAGATGGTAATACAGTTTCTCTGCGCTAGATATCCACAATACTTTTGTTTATCGGATAATAAGCGATACTTTACAAACGGCATTTTAAATACGGTCGAGGACCTTCACGCCAAAGATCCACTGGTCTTTTTGATGGATAATGTCCCCGAAGATTTTGGGATTATGCTGCGAGACGATAAAACCGGATACTATTTCTTACGTGCAGGATCCGTGTGTTCTTCCTTGGGATGGAATCTCGGCACGAAACTGGGCATGCAGCTGCACGAAATCCACGCCCCTATCCCGGATTATAAGGAAAAAATGCAATTCTCTATGGACCGGTATGTGAAAACTTTCCCAGGTTGAACCAGGAATCACTGTCACATTCCTCTAAAGCTTACCATGAAATAGATACTTTGCCAAAATGCCAACCGACAAGCCTATTCAACGGGGCTCATGGGGCCTTGAAGTCGAGCAGCCCCTTTTCATGCCCCCAGGCGATCCTCACGAGCTCCACCGCCAAAATCAGTCCTCAAACCTAGACATCTCCTCCTGCTATCTCCGCGTCGACTGGCAAACCCTCCGCCGCCTCCCACTCTCCGGCGCGATCATATTCAACTTCAAAGCACTGTTCACACCGGTCTCGGAATTCCGCGACGAGCCGGGTATGCCCGCCCTTGTTGCGAAGATCCTTAGAGAGGGAAAGCAAAGCATCATGCAATATAAAAACACATGGCATGTGGAGCATGTTGTGCTGCCAGCTTTGGATAAGTGGGCTGCAGAGCAGGAGGAGAAGGGACTCGTGGAGAAAGGCTGGAAAGTGGAAACGTTGGAGGAGAGTCCGTATTTCAAAGGGTGGGAGGAGAAGTGGCATCGTCAGCAGGGGTTTTGAGCGGTGTTAAACTTCTTCTTTATTGGTTTACAATGAATAGTTTTGATTGCTTTGTGAGTTACATAGAAGTCTTGCAAGATATTTTATGTAGTGCAGATATGTGGTTTCTACTTTAGATATATGTGCCGGATATATCACCAACAGTTCGAATACAACAGACGCCCTCAGCGCTTTGCCATCTTAGTTTCCCCGTAGCCTCTCAAAGCTATTAAACGGGTCCAAACCATTACGGTTTATCTGCGGTACGCAATGGGTTTGGAAATGAATGGTAATCTTCGGTTGCGTGCCACTGATCCCGTGTAGGTATCCATCTTAAAACAGCAGATGATGCCGCTTCTAGATCCCAAATCCTATGCCCTTCTAGCTCAGCGGACGATGTCGACTTTAGGTTTCCGTATTCGTGGGAAGCGGCAAAGCCATAACTCCCTATCTGGGAGCCGGATATCCATCTTCCACTTTGTTTATAACGGCTAAGGCAGATCTTTCAAGGCAGCCTTTTCCAAAAGCCCGACATTAGGCTTCTCCGGTAAATATTCTGTGGCCTCCTTCCAGAACGCTCAATCGTCCCCATGCTGGGATCCATGCTCACCAATCTCTCCATCTTCATCACTATCGCTTTCCCTGTCAATCTCTTCTATCTCTTCCCCCAGCGGGCTCACTCTCTCTTCCAGCATATCCAGGTCCTCGAGTACTCGTCTAGCAGGCAGCTTCCACAGGCTTGTACCACACACGCGATCCTTGGTAAGTAGATCATCCACAAACTGATCCATATACGTCAGCACAAACCCGTCTTTTGTCCTTCTTTTCAATTTTCTATAATCTGACAGCAGCGGCTCCAGAACGGTATACGCCTCCACCGGGTCAAACGTCAGCCGAATATAAAACGCCGCCAACGCGCGTAGGTATTTAAAATCGCCAACCGCTTTTAACACAGCTGCGCCGTCTCCACCCTCCTCGTCAACGTCGTCATCGTCCGCCGCCGGGTCATGGAAGTTGAGATACTCGAGCACCACCTCCTTTTCCGGCGCAAGCTGGAGCAGCTTAAACGCCAAGCACAGAAACGGCGTAGGTTTTTGGTTGGCACCGTAGGTTCCGCCGATGTAGCTGAGCTCGACGGCTCGATCGCAGAGAGTGGCAGCGTTCAGGGCAAAGCATTGCTCTTTCCAGTAGTAGGAGTCCGTGATGCGGTCGCGAACGGCTTTCTCGAAGAGGGTGGCAGGGTTGACGCCGCGGATTAGGGGGCCAGCGTACCCGCGGTTGTCGAGGAGCGCGCTGGCATCAGCACGATGGGTGGACATCCCGGCTAGATGGAACTAGGCGAGCTGATCGTTGGACTGCTGGTGATTAGAGGAAGAAGTTGCTGGTGGTCTTTCGGCGCACGAATATTACGGGACTGTAAAGCGAAAACGGTAATTTTGGAATAAGGTTTGTGCTTATCGATAAGACCGTTGGCCCGGCAACCGGGCGATGCAAACATTGACGTCGATCTCAAAGAGTTCTTCTCGTTATAACTTGTCACGCACACTCTTCAAGGTGGTTTCGACTCTGGCAGACCTCGCTACGCCTCTATAAGGGTGTACCAAATGTTCTGTCAATCTGCAGGCTTCGATTAAGCCATGGTCCTCATCACCCCAGGCACAATCTCAGTGTTCGTATCGACTTCAGTCGTCGGGCTCTTTACGTTTCTTCTCTTCCTGTCCGGCTACGTGCTGCAGCAGCAGTCCGTCCGCAACATACAGGCGGCCTTGCCAAGGAACTTTGCGCCTATCTCTACGCCAAAGCCAAACCCACCAATTTCTAAAGAGACAGCCGGGGCAAGGATAGAGAGCCATTTTGCGACTGGCGTCAAGAATCCCAGTTTATATGATCCGGTTCCAGACCACAAGCATGGTTCTCAACAGGCCCCGATAGATGGTGGGATTAAGAAGCTCTCACCAAATACAAAAGCTTACGTTCAGATCTTAACAAAACCCAGCGCAGCGGATATATGCTCCACGCTTCTTTTTGCGAAAGCTTTGACCTCGAATAGCTCCTCTACTATCGAAAGAATAGTTATCTACCCTGAGTCTTGGGGCTCAAGCCCCCCGTCTGCCAATATCGCGGCAGCATTACGCACTCTTCGGGCATCCAGCGAGCGATACAACCTTACTTTATACCCCATGGACATGAGCAATGCACAAGGAGGGCGGCTGTTTACAGCACCTCTGTTGAAAAAGGCTTCAGCCCAATTTGGAGCTTACGAACGGATGTTGTACCTGCAAGCCCCAGGAGTGGTCCTCGATGCGGAAAAGCTCGATCAATTAATGCATCCCCCTAACGAGAATGACCTATTATCCGAACAGACTTCACTTTTATGGGGGTGGTGGGCAGACAGCAAGTCAAAGACCTGGGTTCGAACGCAGCTTAAACTTACAGCTACCAGTATGCCGCCTGCCGTCCTCTTTACGTCGAGATATCTTCGCCCGGGCGTGCTGTCGAGCCATTCCCATATACTTGGTCGACTGACGCGGCGGAGTTATGTGGATTCCGCGATGGGCGTGTTGGATAATTATGATATGGGCGCTCCCAAGGAAGAGCCGGCGTATGTATATTTTGAGAAGAATAAGGATCGAATACGAGAGCGAAGGAGTGTATACTATTTGGATTGGAGAAAGCACCTGGGGGCCGTTTGTGGTGGGCTTGATTTAGATGATTGACTATCTTTTGTTTTCATCTATGGTTTGATACGTTGGTGGTCCTCTTTTCAGCAATACACTGCATGGGTTGGTTCAGGAGTTGGCATCTATGTTTTGGGAAAGATCTTGGGGATTTTATGGGTCAGCTTGGTCAACCTTCATTGTTCGGAGTTTTGTGGATGGTTTGGATGCTACCTTGGCCGGGGCTGGGGTCCTAGGGATAACGGCTTTCTTTCTGAATAAATCTGATAGCACGATGATGACCTGAAACGTATTTCAAAAATGGTCAACTCTAGTTCAGTGACTGTAAACGAACAAGTATATTACAACCGACTCCCCATATTTCACCAAGAAAAAAAGCAAACAAAGCGAAAAGGCCCCCATTCCCAGTACGTCTCATATGCAGTCCCGTACGCCAGAAAATGGGAATTGCCTAGGGTATATATACAAATCGAGACACAGATCATTTCAGTAGAACGCCCCGAACAGCCCAATCCCGGTCTAGGTCATTACGAAGAAAACCCTGCTCAAGCAGGCGGGATTCCAATTTCATAACCTAGCAGGACTTCTGTGGTGGCTCCTTCCCATCCCCTATTGCCGCTTGTTGAAATCAAATATCTGCACGCCGGGTCCATGTATAGCTGGGAAATGGTTCCAGTGCGATGACCAGGGATTATGAGGAAAGGTACGGTAGAGTGGCGAGAGGACTGTTCGGCTTTGAGATCATAGAGACGGAGGATGTCGTGAGACGCACTTTTAAGCAGTTAGCATCGCGAAATAATAGAGAACAATGGTATGGGAAGTAAGGCACGGTACCAGATCAAATGTCTTCCATTCGGCATTGCTTTTAGCGCTGACACGGCGCCACTCCCCTGAGGGAATTTAAATGTCCGTTGGGCCTCCCGGAGTCCCTTGTGCAGACTATACTCCTCCACGGTTCCATTTCGACGCCCGGCATAGATATAATTTCCGTCTGGTGACCAGCAGGCGTTCATACACCACGGCGGGGTGTTTCGAGGTACTATCCGGGAAACCGGATCTGGCTGTCTACGGTCCCAGACGCGTATCGTCCCGTCCATGGAGGCGCATAAAAAGGTTGTGTCACGGACAATGTTGGAAGTGGCTTCAAACGATAAATCTGGTAGTGTCTTCGATGATTCCAAGTCGTCTGCATAAGGCAGGCCGTTGGTCAATGGTTTTATGATGCCATTAGGAAGGTTAGCGTCTTGCGAGGACGAGGAGTGTCCATCCTGGGTGCCTGCCAGCGTCGCCGAGTCAGAGGTGGATTGACGGATGAGGGTCCCGTTTGCTCGAACAGTTTGCTCCTTTTGTGCGTTTGCTTCTTCCTCATCTTCCTTTTCTTGCCGTATACCGTTTGTAATCGCTTTCGACATTTCATCATCCGCTTCGGCCTCAGCGAAGACGCCGCTGGATGGAACTTCAGTGTCGCCGGCCCCGTTGTCGTCTCCAAACAGCGAGTCAGCTTCAAAGAGTGAATCCGCCGGAGATGCTGCCGATTGGCCCAAGGCTGCTCCGGGAGCTTGCGCACTTGTCCCGCCATTTAGCGTACTAGAACCGGAAGTTGCTTTTACACGGTCAGAAGAGGAAAATGTGCCGTTCGTTATCCTGTAATCTCCACTCTCCTGCGGTACAGGTAAGGCCGATTCGGGTCGAATTTCAAGTCCAGATATCTGCCCGACTGAAGCTCCGAATGTTCGTCGTGTCTGCCCAGTGTTCAAATCCCAGTCAAAGACCTTCTTATCCCAGCTACCAGATAGCAACGACTGTTCATCAGCGGTTAGACAGAGAGCAGATACTGCGGATGTATGCTGCTGAAGAATGGCAATCTCCTTTCCTTCATCATGCCGCAATGATTGCAGGCGGATACCGCCATATTCCAGACCGGAGAGTAACCAAAGGCCCTCTGACTGTGCAGCTAAGGAATACACCGGTGACAACGAGTTTCCATCCATGTTCTCCCAGTATGTCATCAAAACGCCGGCCTTTACGACGCTGTCAACGAACGGATGCCTTTGGGCAACCGTCAACATAAGTTTACTGTTGATCGATTCCGCCCAGTTGAACTTTCGGATGTATCCGTCGGAGCCTCCACTGAACACCCAACGCATGTCGGCCGTGGCAGTCACGGCGTTGATTGACGTGCTGTGTGGAGCCGCCGTCGTGGGGACAATATCATAGCTGGCAGCCGTCAATGCTTCTGAACGGGGGACCGGGCGCATGGGCAAGGAGGAATCGGCCGTGACGGTTGAGGGCGAAGGCTGAGTCAAAACTACTTGGGGATTTGGGGTATTCTGGCTTTCAGAGGCGATACTGGAGTTTGACGGGCTTTCGGGGTCCTGGTCGACTTCCATGTCTTCAGGCCTCATGGTCTCATCCACGTCATTATCTGAGCTGCCTTCCGGTGACCCTGATAGACAAGTGTCAGGATGAGCGGGAAGTGAAAGAGAGCATGCTTTATCTTACCCACAAGGTCACGATCTTCATCCTCCTCCATCATTGGAAGCATGATTGCTGTGAGCTATTAGTCTTACCGCACAAGAGAATGGACGGGTCTGCACATCAGAGCATCACGGCAAGCCCATTGGTGTGCAGATACGACTAAGGGCGGGAAAACCAAGACACTGCTAGTTGTCGACACTGATACCTTAAGTCATCATGTGCAGCTGAGATGTCGAGACAGGACCGGGCATCTCATGGCTTCTTCCGCCAGGGCCTGATGCGCTGATGCTCCGCGGTTTATCCAGGATGCCCACCAGCCGGATTTCGGAGAAAATATCACTCCGCCACTAGTTAGTTTAACCAATGAAGGGCACTGTGATCACTGAACAGTTGCAGATATTCCAACTTCATCTCTTGGATCGTGACCATGGCCTGCTTGACAGTGAAGAATTGACTGCGGAATGACCGTCTTAAATACACTACCATCAAGTAGAGTAATAAGTGCTACATGTGCTGTCTGGCGCCGGTCAAACACTCTTTGTCTAAGAATGCATTCGTCCGAAAGTGCCAAATGCAGCTTTCAGACCTCACCAGGCCAGCTTGTTGGGCCTGTTCTGCAAGCTTGCTTCCTCTATGAATTATCTCACAGAGGATTCCTTTCGTCTCTTCTTTATGTACTGCGGTCCTGACTCTCGTCTCATGTTCGTCAGGCTCTCGTCCCATTATGTTCAAACTCCTCTCTCTTGTCAAGAAGAACATGGGATATACCATCCTCAGTAAACAACAAGAGTGAATGGTGCTGCAATTCCACGACGACAACTGCAGTCCAGGCGCCCAGCTCGCTGACTTTGATGCTGCCGGAACTTTCCTGTTGTTTTGCATTTCTTTCACCTTCTCTTCCTCTCAATCTGCTCTTTGGGTTCCTTCTTTCTTCCTCTTCAACCTCTCCATCCTTCACCTCCCCCCATCCATCTCCATTCTCCAATCTATTCTATGAGCAGTCAAGCCACTGTCCTTGTCTTTTGGCTGTAGACCAAAGGATACTCTGACAATTGCAACAGGAAAATAATAAGTGAACCGTGACTTGGGCTTGTAAGTTCATAACAAAGCCACAAACCAAAGGATCTTGGGCCTATTCTCCAAACAATGCTGCAACTGCTTTCTCCAACCTTTCCATCATCCTGATAACGAGTGCTGATTGTTAATTCGGTAGGATGGCGCCGCGATACTTTGGGCGACTGCCGGGAAAAGCACCAGCAAGTGCCCCGCCTACCCCGGCGCCGTTGAATAGGAGCATTAGAGAATATGTCAAAGCTGCCAATGCTGTGGCGAAACCAGGCTCTTGGACAGCAAAGCCAGAAGTCCCCTCCTCTAACGAGATTCTTGGTATCGATGATGGTATCAACCCTGGCGATGCCGTCTATCTTATGCCAAACCAAATCGATGGGCCATGGGAATCTCGAGATACCTACCTCAAAGCACACTACGAGCTTCTTCGTGAGGATGCAATTGCTCCACTTCGAGATGCGGTGGCCTATGTCCGCCAAGACCCGCGAATGTTAGATACCTTGGACGTTTGCATCTATGAGAAGGTGAGTAGGACGTCTCTAAACCCTCAATGCCTCTGTTGGTGGATACTAATTCCATGCCTACCACAAGGTTCATATCGTTGGAATCACCTGTGCCCAAGCAGGGATTGCCGTCAGAGTCCAGTTCTCAACGGCTCGAGCAGGCAAGAATATCGTCTGGGAATATTCCCAACGGCTGACGACTGGTAAAATTGTTGCCCTGACCCCTACTAATGATGGCTTCAAACGACGATGCGTTGTCGCCGTTGTTGCTGCAAGACCTTTGGAGGCCCTCAAGTCGCACCCGTGCGAGATTGATCTATTCTTTGCCAACCCCGATGATGCGGAGTTTGACTACCAACAGGAATGGCTCATGGTGGAGTCAAGGAATGGATATTACGAGGCAGTCAGACATACCCTGATGGCTCTCCAGAAAATGAGTACGGAAAGGTACGCCTAGATTTTTTGACTCTTACGCTACCACCGCTAATGCAAGTGCAGTTTCCCGCTTTCCGAATACATCTGTGATCTGAGTCACAATGTAGCGCCGCCAGAATATGTCAAACGGGACTCTATTATTGATATGGCAGAGCTCTACTGTCATTCAGATGGACCGTCACGGGTAAATGTGCTCGAAGATTGGCCGTCCCCACCAGAATCACTTGATGGATCCCAATGGAAAGCACTGCGACAAATCTTAACGAAAAGGTTGTCTATTGTGCAAGGCCCGCCCGGAACCGGAAAGACGCACGTTTCTGTTGTCGCTATAAAAACATTGCTTTCGAATATGGCTCGCAAGGACCCGCCAATTATCATCGCTGCACAGACCAATCACGCTCTTGATCAGCTCTTGCGCCATGTTGCAACTTTTGAGCAGAATTACGTCCGGCTTGGTGGAAGGAGTACTGATCTCGAGATCAGAAAACGAACAGTGTTTGAACTAAGGAAAAAATATAGCATTCCTTTCGTTGTCGGAGGGGCGTTAAACCCCGCCAGAAAACACCACAAGCAACTTACAAATCGGCTTGTGGAGTTAATGGAACCTTTCATACTGGAAAGGTCGAGCTTGCCTCTTCCCGCCACCCTTTTCCTCAAGCTAGGCATCATTACTCAAACGCAACACGATTCATTGATCAAAGGCTCCGAGGGCTGGATCTGCTCTGGTGACGAAATGGACCCAGTTTCCTCCTGGCTAGGGGAGGGTAGAATTAAGTATGATGTTACGTACAAAATGGAGAATTTCGGCTTTGTCGAAGACGAGATCGATCTCGAGTATGAGCAACTAAAGGAGCTTGAAGCTGAACAAGGTCTTGACGATGATGATTACGAAAGTCTTAGAGGTCAATATATGGCTTTGAAGGAAGGATATCTTGGCCGCATGAATCCCATGATCACCGAGAAGGCAGTGAACGCCCAATATTTGAAATGCGATGATATGTGGAAGATCCCAGCATCTGCCCGTGGTCGTGTGTATTCGATTCTTCAGAAGCGTGCCAAAGATATTATCCGCGACAAGTTACGCTCGCTCATAAAAGAATACGACTCAGTTGCAACAAATTTGAAGGTCGGCAAGTGGGAACGAGATTCAATTATTTTGCGAGATGCGAGGATAATAGGCATGACGACCACTGGCCTCAGCAAGTATAGAGCTCTCGTGTCGAGCATCAAACCGAAGATAATTCTGGTTGAAGAAGCCGCCGAAGTGCTTGAGGCGCCTGTCGCCGCTGCATGCGTTGAAAGTTTAGAACATCTCATCCTCGTCGGCGATCATAAGCAGCTCCAAGGACAATGCTCCCTGAAGGAACTGGAAGGCGAGCCCTTTTACCTCAACATTTCAATGTTCGAACGACTCGTTCACAATGGCGTCGAGTTCAAGTGCTTGACAAAACAGAGGCGAATGGCACCTGAGATCCGAAGGATGCTTGCGCCGATTTATCATAACTTGGAAGATCATGAGGCTGTTTTGAATCGACCTGGTATCCCTGGGATGGGTAACTTGAGTTCTTATTTCTTTTGCCACGCGTGGCCCGAATCCTCCGATAGCCTTCTATCCAAGTACAACGAGAACGAAGCCAAGATGGTTGTGGGATTCTACCTCTATCTGTTTATGAATGGAGTCTCCGCAGAACACATCACCGTTCTGACGTTCTACAACGGGCAGCGAAAGAAGATTCTCAAGGCATTGAAAGACGCTCCATTACTACAAGGGCAGTATGCCAAAGTAGTCACAGTTGACTCTTATCAAGGGGAGGAAAACGAAGTCGTGCTACTGTCACTTGTTCGTAGCGGCGAACACAATATCGGTTTTCTCTCTGTTGAAAACCGAGTCTGCGTTGCCCTGTCGCGAGCCAAACGTGGTTTCTATATCTTTGGGAACGCGGAAGCCCTTTCCATTCGAAATGGGCTCTGGTGGGAGGTTGTTCAAATCATGCGGAAAGAGCCGAAGCGGTTAGGGTCTTAAATTGCCCGTGACCTGTACGAAGCACACAAAGAAAACGCTTGTGAGAGGTCAGTTGTCCTTCTTTTTTCACTCTGTTAAACTGTGACTTTTCTTGTTGTATCTCTCTTCACAACTCTTGTCAGAACGGTTCCTAACCGACTGGAATAGACCCCGAGACGTGGAAGAAGCTGGATGGGGGGTGTCTATCCCTCTGTAAGGCCACTTTAGATTGCGGACACGAGTGTCCCCTTCGGTGTCACGCGTAAGATCCTCAAATCATCCTTTGGAACCCGAGCCTTTTGGTCTAACGATCCTTGATATAGTTTTACCCACGAAAGGGTCAGGTGCGGACGGCCCTGCCGTCAACTCCTTCCTTGTGGCCACGAGTGCAAGAAGAAGTGCTTTCTTTCTTGCGAGTGCGATTGTGATATCGCACAAAAAGCAGCCACGATACAAAAGGCGGCGCAATATCCTGAAAATATAGCGGCGGACATGCATATCAAACAGTTGGCGTCTGTTCAGCGCTATCGGGATTTTGCAAATGGAGGTGCAAAAGAAGCCGATGCTCAGCTTGTTCGCCAGACGAAACAGCTGGCGATTGAGGAGGGATTGAAACTTGCCGATGAGCAAGCTTATGAGTCGTTGTTTGGGGCCGAGGAAACCGATCCAACTCCAGCAGAACACAGCGTCGTCGAACGCGTTCCAAACATCAATGGCCCGTCTCGGTACCGCTACACTCAATACTATTCGAGCGCCCCCGCTAAAGTGAGTACTGGAGGACCGAAGCAAAGCGAGCCCAGCCTCCTGGATCTTTAAGCTGGAAGGACTTGTTTTCACGCCGTGCTCGTACATACTTGGCTGCGTCATCAACTACTCATCAGCAAATGAAGATTCCAGAGCTATGGAAGTATATTGCGGTTATGGTCCATTGAGCGGCCATTCAAGTACTTTTGATCAAGAGCAAGGCTGTGAAGGCAATGGAAATGAAGAACTGAAGTGGAAAAGGACGGTAGCTCTGTACATTATTGTGGATGCCAACCAGACCGTCCTTTTGATTTTCTCGTGGTTTTTTCTCCAGTGTACTTTAGGGAGCCGTTAGCTCGTAATAATGGAGGCTTCATCGTGACCAAAGAAAATGATGATTGAGCCTTCAGATCAGTCCAGCCAAAACTTTTCTTTGGCGACATCGAGTAATCTCATTTCGTTCCATGCCCTTGTACCCTGCGAATTTCCATTGCCACCAACTCTAGCCAGGATGCCGTAGCAGGTGATTTCAGGCCAAGTTATCCAGCCGACAGAAAAGCGCTCTAAACAGAACCCCCCAGGCAGTCATAGCCTACCTGGGATCATTGCGCGGTTCAAGCTTGGTTCCATAGAATGATGGAATGTTAGGATAACATAAGCCTTCCTAATTGGGTCTGCATAAGAGCCAATGAAAATAATGAAGAATAATTAAAGTTTCCCTCCAGCTCCTTCCCTATTTAATAAACGGAGCAACAAACTCAGAACAGAAGGCACGACCGCAAATTCATTAGTTACGTCAGCGGTTTCCAGAGGCTCGGTCTCTCACCTGTTGGCTAACCATTTCAAGCCTAGTGCGGAGTTCTGGGCCCGAGTCGGTGGAGTCGCAGGTCCGAGCGCACTGATTTGTGTTTCAGGAAGATTTATGCTGACGGTTTCTTCACAGGGGAGCTGCCGATGAGCATGTGCGTTCTCAGGGCAACTGGCAAATGTGATGCTTTGGACAGTTTGGTTGATACTGCTTTTCTGTTTGGTATGTACAGCCATGCTTGCTCGATACGTGAGAATATACATGGTATCTTAAGAAGTACAAATCGGTGATTGTTTGATAAAAGGTATAATCGCTTTTCTTTTCAAAACAGATCCAACGAAACGCCAGGGACCCATGTAACTATAGTTGTGTCACGGCCAGTTAGTAGGGACACGCTGTTCGCTGTCGTTTCCTGACTGTGGCCGACCCGCCGCAGAGCCGGGCGACAGTTCGACGCCGTCCGTCGAACTACAGAATGCCGCATCATCTATGATCCGTTGGATCGAGTCTTGTCTTTGGACCACTCTCGGGAACTTGGCCTGATCAGACCGCTCCGGCGTTCGATCCGATGAATGTGCCAGTGACCGGAACCCCAGCTTGGGGAAGTACTTTTGCGCAATTGGTCGAAGGACCGGAATCGACGGTGAAATTACCGCCAGGTTGATCTCAACAACGGACCATAGCCAGACGTTATATCCCACCCCTGCCGAAATGAAACGGGTCAGTATGAACAGACGAACAAACGAGTCTCAGGGAATATACGGACATGGGACGTCATAAGTAAGTATCGCCATGTATATGTAAGCTGTTTTTATAGCAGCTGCAGCGCAAGCACTATCGAAACAATGTCAATAATCGGAGCTTCTTTCCAGTAAGGTCTGAAGGGGCCTCGTACGTAAATCCTAAACTCATGAGGATAATCAAGACGACTTTTTCCCGGACAGGCAGACGCAGGGTCCAAAACGTCGGGATTGGTAAGAGAAACACCGCGAAATCCGTAAAAAAGTTGGTAAACGCCGAGGAGAGTAGCTTTCCTAGCTCGCTGATGCACTTGCGGTCCGGTTTATGCGGATCCCAATAATCCTTTAACGGACTAAATACCAAAAGACAGGTCAGAGGATATGGCCATAGAAAAGGGGGATTCGATCGAGCTCATGTGTGACTTACATGCAATTAAAAATCAAAACAAAAAAATATGCTGGCCAAATGTTAGTTAGTGAAATCTTCCCGACGTAGCCAACAGAATGACGAAGGACGTCGAGTGCATACATATCCACCAAGCTACCATCATCCCTATTAGCGCCCACGTGAGCACTCGGTAGGTTTTCGTCGTGAAAAAGCGAAGATATGACAGGAGAATCGATATTTTGAGAAGTGTTATGATAGTGATGTAGTGTAGTTCGGTCACCCAGGCCGTCTGCCCCAAAGAGTTAGATTTCCTGCGAGCCTGTTTTATGTGCTGGGGAGGTGAACTCACGAGCCTGGCTCCATGAAACCATTCCTTTTTATTATCCCAAATATGAATACCTGGATCCAACTGTCAAAACATATTCCGGCACAGACGGAAACAAAGAGAAGCTGACCCCATCCATATCTTGGAGCAAGCAGGGTAATCACGGTGTTACTGAGTACAATCGGCTATATAGACATGTCGCCGTTAGCATCAAGAGGATCGAGACGGCCGTGATTCGGGGGTCATACCAACAGCACCAGCATAATCCAATCATCCCAGCCAGCTGATCGCCTCATCCATATCCTCACGTACATCCGAAGGAAAACGATAATGAACGATATCACGAGTAGGGTGATTCCGACGATGGCCACCCGCGGCCCTTGACTATCCGGGTTCACATAATTCGGTTTGGGCCAACCCGCAATAACATCTGGAGGAGGATCGCGCATCGCTGGACGCACATCTTCGGCCCCCGAGGTGAGACCGCGATTGACAGCGGGAAGGGAAGAAACAAAAGAAGATCAATGAAGTTGGAGAAGAAGTCCACTGTTGACTGGAATTTGGGGAGCTCTCGTGTTTTTCCTTTTCCCCATGACAAGGGTCGGGAAGGATGGGCAGGGATAATATAACCAGAGAAGACAGCTGCAAGAACTGAAACCCGTGGGGACAATCTCTCTCCCGCAACTGGTCAGCCAATCAAGCTTACTTCCACAGATCCAAAACAGTTGATGGTCGAGTTCACGAAATCCCAGAGGCGCGATGAACCTTGTCAACCATGCCGGCGCACCCTGGGGCGATCCGTGGTGGAGGAGGAGGAGATCGAATCGTCGAAGAGGCTGAGAAAAGGAGATAGTTTGGATTTGGTCTCTAGACTCTGGCCTATCGCTAAAGATGCAGCGGGCTTCAGCCTTCAGGAGCATGGACAGGGGCGTTGTCGAAGAACAGTCCTTTTCCGCACTCAACACTTCAAGAGGACGGCAGAGTCGGGTTCTCCAGCAAGACTTATTCGATTTTGGCCACTCGGCGACAAAGCTTCCTCCTAGTCGAATTCAATAATTATCGGGATCATCATGCAAAGTCTCTTTTGTGAGCTGCGAGCTTTCGCAATTAACTTCAAGCCATCGTCGGCCCCATCCTCACCGATGACTTTGCCGTCATCTCAACCTTGGGCTCGGACCCTTTTGAAATCTCCACCAAAGCCCCAAGCGAGCCTCGACTTCAGGCGATTCGAAACTGCGTTTTGAATTTGATGCTGTAGTTCATGAGTTAGGAGTTTAAAATGGTTGAACCATGGTGTGCTGGCCGCCATATGATTTCTGTTTTGTTCTCGAACGCGAGAGAAGCGAAATTTTCAATTCGGAGTTGAGGAAGACGAGGCCACAACAAAATAGCAGTTAACTATCCAGCTTGACTCTCCCATCCTTGTCATCATCACGGTCTCCGCTGCGTGGGCCATCTCACCCGCTTCCCCAGTCCCACAACGCCATGGCGCAACTCTGACACCAACAGATCTGGACACACAGCCGCCAACCCCAGAGCAGTTAGATATTCTAGAGCTCCCCGATTATAAATTGAATTCAATGCCGCTCTCGATTGTCAGGCCATGTGGCTTCGCCCTGGAGGGTGAGGCTATGCTATTTACGTCTATTGTTCGATATCGGCCTCTGACCCGGTGAAGCTACGACTGAGGCTAGCCACGAGTCGAGCAGGTGGACAAAAGCCATGTTATTCTTCTCCAGGAACATAAAGTGCCCGTTCCCAAAAAACCCATGGTCTGGAAGGTTGAGCCATCGCACACGGACGCCCGCCTGCTCCAGGTATGCAACTGTACAGTAGTCGTACGGCGCGTGGAAACTCGCCTCTGCCGTGACAAGTAGCACTGGAGTTTTCAGAAGACGAACAAGCTGTCTCGGCACGCTCGCTTGAAGGGTGCAGGAATTGAAATCCATGGATGGTGCAGGATGAGTTTCCGTGGATATTTCCTGGGGGTTAGCAACTCTGGGGAGGTAGGTCAGAGGCAGTGTGGCAATGCCATATGGTCGACCGGCGCCGGTCTGTAGCGTTTCATCAACGAACGGCGGCCCTACATTGGATTCACTAGTTAGTTGTAGCACCAAGCAACCGAGACAGACTCTATATGTCAAAAGTTAGTGACACGGAACAGTACGCATCTACCTACCCTCAGGTTCAATGGCCAGTATTCCCTTGACGAGGTCCGGGCGGGAGTCCGCAACTCCCCAGCCGTAAGGTCCCGACTGCGAGTGCGTGACGAGGATAGCTGGACCAATTTTCTCAAGGAGGGCGATGCCTGCGGCTCGGTTATACTCCTCTGAACGCGTCTTGTTGAGCTGTAGCGGTACTTGCGAAGCGAAGAACTGGTCAGAGAATGCGTCCCCAACATGGCCCGAGTCCGGCCATTGCGTGTGCAATCGGGCTTGTGGCCACCAGTTGAACTCCCTCGTGGTGGTGAAGAAAGCTTGCGCGAACTCGATGGGCGGGTTTCCCATTTGGCCCTGGCCCTCAAGCCAACCAGACCGGCCTCTTTCAGGCTGCTCGACAATGACAATTTCATATCCCAGTTCAAGCCAGTGCGAGGCCCATCCCTTTCTACCATCAGGCGTGTTGAGGAAATTCTACCAAGAGTAGCAATGTTAGAGCGCGCCTTCAACCCCAGTTCATCACGTATGCACAGGACCGAAGGCTAAAGGAAAAGGTCGTCTTACAGCCCCAGTTTGCCCAGCACCAGGCCAGAGCACCAGCGGATATTGCCGAGTCGGATATGCTGGGGTCAAGCGTTCGACGTACATCTGCCCGGCCAGGACAAGCCCCGGGCCAAACGGCGGCTGGGAGATGTTGACATACTGGCCCCCAACATAGAAGTACTCTCGCCGATGAAGAGCTCCCGATGGCGCGTGGTGATGCCCATCGCCAGCGTGGGCGATCGCAAGGAGGCCTAGCAGGATCCCAAGATTCACCATTTTCCGTGGATGGCTTTTCGGAGGTCTGTGTGATGTTGCAAACTGTTTTCCCAATGCTTTTTCTGATCGGTCACTGCGCCCGCTTCTCTCCCTTCTATGAGTAACTCCGTACTTGGTGGCAAGATCACTTTACACATGTCGATCAGCGAATAATTGTTGGGTACATCAATGGACTAAAATGGGTCTCTAAGAAGGCATCGACGTGTATCTTGCATATAAACCAGACGATAAATGAAGCAAGAAGACAGAAAACAGGGCAACGCAAAGCAAAGTACACGCCCAAGATATCCTCAACGATAGCGTACTGTGCATGCCCGATGCCCGCCTGGCCTTGGATGGAAAAACCTAGGAGCTTTCCTGAATTCCACTCTGGCGCAACGACGACCACCGGCCGTGACACTACATTTCAAAACAGGTAGTTAGCCAGTGGAAAACGACAGGCTCTGGTCGGGGTATAGCAGATCTATCATCCGTGGGATACATTGTGCAGTCTTGGCTGGCAAAAGATACTGTGGGATGCAACATTTATTAATCAATAATCCCATATATTGGCAACACAATATACATACATCAATCTACTTTGTTTTTATTATCAATCCGCCCTTTTATATGCATTCAGACCATGCCAAAAAAAGGTTTCACATACAGGCGAATTGATGACAGTGAGCAGAGCAGGCCCATTCTAAAGAAAAGGAAGACGATCCAAAATCCTTATCAAGGCAATGCAAACGACTCAACCGTCAATTGCGGACCCATCAGGAATCATCCACCAGCCTCTTCTGCTCCCATGCCCTTTTGGCCCCTTCGATCAATGAATCCAGGTTTCCACTATTCTCACACATACTTTTGAACACTCCGCCCTCCTTGTTGATTAGCTGCCAGGGTCCGTCATATTCTATAACCTCACCATGATCCAGCACCAAGACCTTGTCATAATCAATAATCGTCTGCAGGCGATGTGCGATTGTGATGATGGTGTTGTCCTTCAGTTCCCGGAGCGTGTCTTGGATCTTCGCATCGGTGGCATAGTCGATTGACGCGGTGGCTTCGTCCATCATGAGAACTTTGGGCGATTTGAGCAGGGCTCGGGCGAGGCAGAGAAGTTGTCGCTGGCCTTGGGAAAGGTTAGATCCTGACTCTGTCACGGGAGAAGAGAGGTTTAGGAAGATGTTCTTGTTGTCACGGAAGCGGGCAGTGGAGGAAAGGTCCGTATCCGAATCGATGGGCTCGCTATCTAGTAACGTTGCAGTGCTGCGGCTAGCTTGGATCACAGATTCTCCATCCGATTGTTGGGCAGACGTAGCGGCCCCGATGAGGTGGACTCGGCGAAGGGCCGTGAAGATGTCCTCATCGGTGAAGACACCGAATGGGTCAAGGTTGCTACGCAATGTGCCAGTGAAAAGCGTGGGGTCTTGCGGGACAATGGTAATGGCTTGCCGAAGGTCTTGTAAACCGATCAAACCAATATCAATGTCGTCGATAATTATCTTTCCACTTTCTGCTTCAAGTCCACGGAAAAGGGCGAGTGCCAACGAGCTTTTCCCGGCGCCAGTTCTTCCCACGATTCCTACCCTTTCGCCAGGCTGTACGGAGAAGCTGACACGTTTTAGAACGAGATCGAGATCGGAACGGTAGCGAGTTGAATATTCAACAAATTTCACAGCACCGCGGCTGGGCCAGTTCTTTGGAGGCCTATTTTCAGGGATGATAGCTCGCGCCTCCTGTTCCACCTTGAGGTACTCTTCCACTCGCTCAACAGAATTCATATTTTGTTGGTTCTCCGCATACAAGCGAACCAGCCACAGAATATTTTCAGTGAAAGTGATGGCATATGTCAAAGACAAACCCGCAGCACCAGCATCGATACGGCCGACGTTGAGCATGATAAAAGCTGCAGAGAAGAATGACACCATAGCACCGGTAATGTCGACTCGGAAAGCTAGCCACCGATTACTTGCCCATAGGTAAAGATAAGGTCGGTTATATTCGTTAATCAAACGGTGATTATCCAAGATAAACCGGGCACCCTCACCGTACGCTCGAATTGTGACCACGCCGTTCAGAGTCTCGCCAAATTGCTGGTATAGAGGACTGCGTCGCACCGATTCCAGCCTCTTCAAATCTCGAGAAGCGTGGAGGTATAGGGTTCCAAGAGCAAAATACAACAATGTAATGAACACACCAGCAATCAAGAAGCCTGGTGTAATAACCGATATCAATATCACAATCATCAACACAGAAGCCATGCAATGGAGCATGCCAATAGCAGTGGGAGCAACCTCCTGGTCAATCGCTTCAATATCTTTGGAGAATCGATTCATAATGCGACCTAGAGGTGTTGAATCGAAAAATTTGAATTTTGCATGCGATACTGCACGAAGCAGCCATGAATGTAACTTCCACGAAGCGTGCAACGAGCCCCAGAAGAGAACCAGTTCTCTAAAGAAGGAAACAAGGATATAGGCGGCGGCCAGGAGCGCATAGACAGTCAGATAATACACGACGTTGACGTTAGTCGTCGATGAGAGTCCACTGACAGATTTGCTGACAGATGAGGGCCACCAGTAGGGCCGAGGGATGTTAGCTGTACTCAAAGTCGTGACATGGAGGTTTGTGAAACCACGAGAGTTGGAATCGTCGCCAGATGCTTTGTATGCGTTTGCCCAACTTCTAACCCATATATTCGGAGCTAGAGATCCAAATTGTTGTAGTATGAAGACCAGCGTTGCGACGACCCAGAAATGCCACGAACCCATAGCGCGGAGGTACATGTAAATTGTTGAGAACGGGACGCTACCAGTGATTTTTTCTTCTTCCGCGAGGCCAGAGCCGGATTTTTTCTTGTCCTTTTTGGCGGCCCCGTTGGATTCAATCTGATTGTTTGGCTTCGCATTGGCATCTTGTGCGTCTCCCTTTACTTCGCTCGCGTTCTCTTCAGCCCGTGACTCTACCTGGGAAGCAGTATACGACTCATCCCTCGACGGAGGCCGTGACTGAAGCAGCTCTTTGCCGAGAGCGCCAGACGAGACGACTTCTTGCGGGGAGCCTTGAGAAGTAACCCTCCCGTTGTCGAGGACTATCAAATAATCACAGCGTGACAATACCAAAGAAACGTTATGGGTGACTAGGATACAGGTGCGCCCCATCATTAGTGGTCCAATCAGAGCCTGTTGAAATATATGTTTGGCTGTATGCGAATCCACGGCGCTCAGACAGTCGTCGAGAAGGAGATGTCGCGCGTTGCTGTACATCGCTCGCGCTAAAGAGATTCGTTGCTTCTGTCCTCCTGAGAGACTGATTCCCTTCTCTCCAACCAGGGTCTGGTCACCGGCATCAAGAATTTCCAAGTCTCTTTCCAGCCCACAAGCTTGAATTACGGCATTATACCGGCCGCCATCGTAGGGCGAGGCAAACAAGATATTATCCTGGATGGTGGCGTTGACGAGCCATGCTTCTTGCGCGCAATATGCCACACTCTCAGTAAAACCCGTAGCCGGATCAACGCGTAAATCTGCGCGATCACTAATTCCACCTGGAAGATAAACTTGTCCTTCAACGAGTCTCATTTCGCCTAAAAGTGCCATTAATATGGATGTTTTGCCGGAGCCAGTCGGTCCAGCGATAACGTTGAGTTTCCCAACACGGAATGAGACATCGATGTTGAAAAGACGGAACGCTTCTGGAGCGGCATCATTGCCATCCCGTTCTGTATCACCCCTTTTAGAACCCCAAGATAGAGTTGCCTTTTCGAGTGCTATCTTTACCGGTTGGTCTTGAGAGGGCTTGCGTAGCTGAGTGTACTTTTCCGTCTCCTCTTCATTCAAAAACTCCTCAACGCGGTCGATGGAGACTTTTGATTCTAGAATGTGCGCTACCATATCTGCTAGTCGATCCAAAGGAACTCGTAACAAGGAAAACATTGAGAGGGCCGGGAAAGCAATCGATGGCACCAATTTCTTGCCTTCGACGACAGTATAGAGAAAAAACGTGGCAAAGGTGATAATGAACGGGGTACCATACCAGGCTGTAGCGGCAATAGACCACAAAATATATCGTCGGCGGAGGTGCTTCAGCTCTATCCTTCGTTTTTCGTTGATAATATCTTCGAAGCGTTGTTCCCAAGCAAAGTACTTGATGATACGGATATTTTGCAATGCCTCGTTGGTTGCATGGATTCTCGAGTCAGTCGCAGCCAAGATGCTGTTCTGAACACTTCGGAATTGGGAAGCGATGAACATATTAAAGGGAGCAATGAGCAGCATCAAAGCGATACCAGCAAAAGAACTGAAGCCAACAATCTTGTATAGCAGAAAGATCGCAACAATAATCTGCACTGGTACACTAGCCCAGACAAAATGCAGGTACGCAGAAATTTCACTAACTTTGAACGAGTCAATGGCCATGAGGTTGATAATTTTACCAATGTTGGCCGGAAATTCGGACTCTCCATTTCTAAAAACTTCCACCTCCTCGTCTTCGGTCTTTTGCTTGTCTTTCTTTTTCTTCTTCCCTTTCTTCTTTGAAGATTTATCCTTTCGCGGACTGTCTTCTTCCCGTTTGTCCTCCGCAGCGGCAGCAGAGGCTCCAGCCTTCCTTCGCAGCGCTTTGGCATAGAGTTCACCGATTATGATTGCTCGAAATTTGACGCTGAGTTTCCGCCCCAGCCACAGTGCTTGACCATCGCCAACAGCCTGAATAACTCCACAAACGAACAAGAGGATGACATAAAACCAAGCCGCATTGCTTGGTACAGAAGAGGGGTCTTCCACATGTTCTAGGATAAGTTTCAGCAACCAAGTAGGTAAAAAGGTGAACAGACCCGCAAAAATGGTCCAAATTCCCTGGATCAGGAGCAGTCGATCGAAGAAACGAAAAAATCTCCATGTTAATTTAGATGCGGTCCTTGCTCGGCGAAACTCGAGGATCACTGCAGAAGCTTGATAGCTTGATTTCAGGTTCCAGACATCTGACATTTCCATAGTCTTCTTGTATCCCCTCCAAACCATAGAGTCCATCCATGAGAAACTCATTAGAGACAAGAGACTAGCGAACTGGTCTCGGGGAGGGACCAAGTCTTCGTCATGTTGAATAACGACCGTCTTGTTGCCTTTCCTGGTGGTCGTTGCTAGGAGCAAGAGGAAAGACGCGAGGGCGAAGTTGACGATCACGAATGCCTGATCTGGATGCCTCTCCGGGTGGATGAGTACGGATCGGAAAACAAAGATTATGAAGAGCCACTGAAGGCCGTAGAGAATAGCGGTATGGTCCCAAAGTCTAGCGACTGAAGGGCGCTCATATAGGGATAAAATGAGCCTCATGGCCACTAGAAGCAGTATGTATATCCAAGCTGAAAGTCGAGCGAGAGCTGGAGCTGTGGATTCCTGATGTGCCGAGATAGAAGCAATGGCGCCGGCAGTGGCTGCAACCTGTCCGCCTACTGCAAGTATTTCTATCACCGTCAAAAGCCACTTTCCGCGAGGAGTATCGACTTCTAAAGGCGCGTCATTCGTTCTGCTTATAGCTTTATGTAGCATCAGATCGCTTTCTTCGTCTTCTTCAGCGTCACTCGACTGCGTCTCGGCTCCATTGTGGGGAGGTATGCTTGTCGAGATTGGTCTGTAGCCTCGTTTCTTGCGAGTAGTAAGTCTATTATGGAGGAGGCGTATAATTATAAACAGTAACGATATACCGCAGGATAGTAATGGGAAAATGATATTGAGATATCTGCCAGAGTTGATATCAGCGTTGCTTTATCTGTGATAACTAACTGGTTTGCAGATAAGGGTACTGTGGGAAAAAGAGGCACTCACTTCTCTTGAAAGCACTTTGATAGGTCATCGACAACCCATATAGGGCCATCGCAAACCTGCAACATTGTTGATGGTTCGGTTATGCAGCTTTGCGACACGGTCACTATAAAAGCCCCGAGAACAGTCGGCCAAACCAACCTTTCCCAGCTACCCAAGAACTAGGATCGGTGACAAGACATTGAGATTCGAAACGGAGAAGTGATCAATATAGGAGAATTACACGACGGAGGAATTGGTCATCGCAGGGGGTAGTTGAGTCATGACAAGAAAATGCCAAAAATATGACGATGTGAACCTTGACCCAAAGGGCGCACCACGATTGAAGCAGCTGGTGAGCAAGACCTGCAGGATTGAAGGGCAGAAAGAAGTCCTCTCACAGTTATAAAGCAGACCAGCCCAAGGTAAAGAAGAGCAGAAGAGGAAAAAGCAATGAAACTGGCGAGAAACAAGAAGCCGGCGGCCGAGTGGGTTTTAACTATCAGCGCGAGAGTGGGTTCGGCCTCTGCAGAGAGCTTAATGGCACCCTATCACATCCGCCGCGAATGCACATTCTGACCTTCTGATCTCCACAACCATCTGCATAGGAAGGCAGACGAGACAACTCCGGTTCTCCAAGAGGAAGAAAGAAATCCAACACACCTCTCCGACAGCAGTGCACAGTCTCTCATAAGGGACCTTCGCCAGCCTCCGATCTGATCATTTTCGGGCCCCAGTCCGCCGATCACGCGCGCCCTCCAAGCTGCATTTTAATAATTACTACGGAGTCAAGGCGTCAAGGCTTTGCTTGAATCCGACAGGCTATCGCGAGCCGGCAGAAGAGGATCAAAACATTTCGCGCTTGGCCGCAAAGCAATGAAGAAACAATCCTCTTGTGTCCGGTTGACAGGTTCAACCACGCCAGGACAATGAGCGCATAAGGAAACATAATTACTCGTATACAAGCATCAAACAGGGCCGAAGGAAGGCCATGTGGCACGCAAGGCCTTCGAAATGTAGGCGAATGCATTTGTCTGCTGATGGAATTATTGGAATTGGGTCGAATTGATGATTTTGTCTCCAACTAATAAGTTGCTATTTAATTCCGAGAATTGCGCACATTGCTCTGCATGGAGCAGCGCTCTCCCATCCATTCGCTAATATCATGCGCGTCCTGAAAATTCTCCTCGCAACCAGGGATGATTCAGCGCCTCTACGGCGGTAATCCTGTCCGTTGGTTCATACTGCAGCATTCTCCAGAGGAGGTCCTCAAAACACTTTGACTCGTCCTCAGATATTAGGCCTATAGCGTGGCTCTGAGCTGTGCGATTATGGACTCTTTTGCCGAGCAAAGAACGCCCATTCGCGCAGGCATCGAAGGCTCCGTTGTCTAGGAAGTATTCCCCCCTATTCTCCCAATGTTGCCACTGATGCTCCGGGGGTTTACCCAGCGTTTTCACCATGTTTTGAAGCATGATATCCCTTGAATCGTTACAAGTGGGGAATAATTGGTGTAGGAAGCGAATTTCGAACAGCGTGCAACCCAACGACCACACATCAGAACAGCGACTGATCTTATGTTCTAGCAGGGTCTCTGGAGCAGCATAACCCAGTGTCGTGGTGAGAGTCTCGGAAGGTGAAGCAATAGAAAAAGCGTCTAAAAAGTCGGCGATGTTTACTGTATCTGTGAGATATTCGAGACCGAAGTCAGCCAGATTTGCTTTCACCACTCCATATTTTGGGGCTGATGGGCCCGCGGGTTCTCCGTTGGCGGTGTGCAATGGCTCCTGTCTTGGTTTCCCAAGATAGGAGTATATTTCCTGATCTGAGAGTGCATCCAAACGGCGAAGACTGACTAAAATATTCTGGGGTTTTAAATCTAAACCATGTGAGATTTCAGCAAAGCGGATTTGGTACAGGCTGCATACCTCCATGTGTGATCCCGCATGAATGCAGGTGGGCGAGCGTTCCCACTATTTGTCGAGAGAAATCTACTGCCGTGACGCTTGGTAAATATGGCGAAAGGCCAGCTTTCACCTGGGCGTCCGAATACTCAGATATGGTAGGCCCGATGAGCGGGAGCACGAGAGAGACGTGGGTGCCATTGGGGCCAACGATCGTGAATTTGTGCAAAAGTCGCGGCACATGTATGTTTTCAACTCCATGTTCTTCTGAATGCAGTAAGGCCAGGATTCTATCCTCCTTGCACTGGCTAGATATCTCTGCGATTAGGACCTTGATGGTTACCAGCTTCGATTCCTGCCAGAGATCACGCGCCAACCAGACAAAGGAACGGCTACTGTAGCCAACTTTGTGAATGATGCGGAATCGACCATTATCTAGGGTGTCGCCGATATGTGTGGGATGGTATCCCCCCTGCTTGTATCCTGCGAAGTCTTCCACGTCAAGTCCCTCTGCAACTGGCACGTAACGGCGCATAGACAAGGCGCTCTGGCTGGCTCCTTCATCTAGTTTGGAGATCAGATTTGTCGCGGTGTTTTCCTTCTCTTGGGGTGTATCAACACAATCGTCTGAAAGTGCGCCTGCCATGCCGATGGAATGCAGGATGAAGCATATGGGACGTATATAGTTCCAATTTTGCTGATCGAATATCCACAAACATAAGGCTGCCTAAGTTGAAGCGAGAATATAATCTAGACGTGCAAAAATAGCCAAATCATCTGATTCTCGCAATGTCATCCCAGTCTGCGCCGAGGTGCCCACTACGTCATTTGGACCGCCGGTCCTTAATCAGCATTTGAGTGCTGGTCGGCCAAATATCGCGTTGGCTGTTTCTCGCGTTTGGCCGGGATCAAGGGAGGACATACTTACCCGGCCCTTTATCAGTTTATCCCTCAGGGCCTAGTTACCTATACCTTTAGCCTGTGATAGTAGTGCCATTCCCTTGACGTGACTGTAGCTCCACGAGGCATTGAACTTTCATCTCAAGTAACTTATGGGAGTCCAGCCTCATCAAGACAATTGCAAATCAAGCCAGTTTGATGCTGGATATGGCGAATCTGTTCCTGCAAATGAATTTGGAACAGACTCTTTTGCCTCGTTAAAATCTTCATGCTCTTTTAGTTAGTTAACGGCGGGGTGAAATTCGCCCCCTGCCTTTTCCCAGCAGGCGGGTAACTTAATGATTGGGACTGTTTTTGTTCCGCCGAGGATAAAATATGCTTGCCTACCGTCACCCTTGATCCCCTTTCCAAGTGCAGCCTAGACTAGTGTTCATCCTGCTGTGAAGAACAGAGAGAAGATGGAAGCTTCCGCCTGCTGCGAACGCGCTCGAGCTGTTTGGCTCAAATGCAGGGGCGACAGCGGTGAATGAAACCCATTCCGTCACTAGTGGCAGAAAGGTTCCTGAACACAACCTTAACCTGAGACGCACCTTGTGATCAAGCCGTTCTTCTTCTCTTCTCCTTGCCTTTCTCTTCCGCTCTTTTCACAAGCTGGGATTCTGAGCGCTCCTGTCTTTTCCTACCTGTTGTGGTGTGAGGTCGCTCCTTTTCAGCCCTGTAACTAGTCACCTTGTCGACAGCCACCCTCGATCGTTACTTGGAGCGGTTCCTCGTGTGAACTCGAGACCCCGATGGCGGAACGCATTTTGCTCAACGAATTCAAGAGCTTGTCAAAGGAGAAATGGGTTAATATCGAGGTGGGTTTTGTTTTGGTTCTCTCGTGCAGTCGCTTTCTCCAAAATCTTATCTCGATTTGAGCGGCTCGCAGAGCCTGTGGGATTTCTGCGGCTAGAGACTAACATCCGGCTTTATTCATAGTTGCAAAACGAAGATATTTTCCAATGGAATATTGGGCTAATCGTTTTGAACCCCGACTCTCTTTACTACGGGGGATACTTTAAGGCCCGCATGACTTTTCCGCGCAATTACCCCTATTCGCCACCAAGTGAGTGCACGAGGATAATGGGCCAAGAGTAAAGGCGTTTGGTGCCTTTTTTTTCTCTCGAGGTCGATTAGATTTAGAGGAAAACGATCGTTTTCGGCTAGAAGCTGACCCTGGTTCAAATTCTAGGCTTCAAATTTACTCGGCCCATTTTCCACCCTAACGTCTATAACACCGGCGAGCTCTGCATCTCGATCCTTCACGCTCCCGGCGATGACGAGATGTCCGGCGAATCCGCAGCCGAACGCTGGTCCCCAGCCCAGCGCGTTGAGTCTGTCTTGATCTCTATTTTATCTTTACTTGACGACGCCGAGATCAACTCAGCCGCCAACGTCAGTGCAAGTGTTATGCTCCGAGACGATCCAGAGAAATACAAGGAAAAGGTCAGGAACGAGGTTGAAAAGTCCAAGCTGGATATTCCCAAGGAGTTCGTCATGCCAACTCATGAAACCTCTATCGCGAAGCCCGATAAAAGCGACATCATGGACGAGGACTTTTGGGTTGACAGCGATGATGGTGATGATGACATTTTTGGTGGAAGTGACTCCGATATGATGGAGTATTCGCAAGAAGATAACGATTCTAGCACCGATACCGAGGAGCAGCTCTGAGCAGAGCCGCGTCTTTGGTCCATGCCATTTCCAATCACATGCATCGTTGGGAGCATAGCATTTGCGACGGGGGGGCGATCTTCTCTCAGTATTTGATTTACCTTAGCCAGATGGCGTTTTCATGAGTTCTAGGACTGGGAGTAACCGAGACGGTGCGGAGTATTTAGGTGGCCGGGTCTCTTCGTTCGGGAACAGGGGTTTCAATATCCATCCAAGATATGTATTTCGGAGCCATCTTATTGATACCTTCACTACTGACATAAAGTAATTAAAATCTGATATTACAACCCATTTGCGCAAACACTGATAGGACGTTTTTTTACCCAATGAGTTTTACCGAGTGCTAATGTTATCCTAGCAAAGTTGTGAAGCTTGGAACCCCTTTAATGTTTAGCATGCCCTTCCAGCATCAAACAGATCTAGACGGCCTGATATTGCTTGAAATATCTGGGAATTCCAGTACTGTCCGCAGTGTTTGAATGAACAAATACTGTGTCGCCAACTGGACGTGTGCAGTTATGCATGCTCCCTTGTTACCTAGACGATGCCTGATTGTGCGTGAGCCACGTCACAGTTATATAAAGGGATGACTTTTTTCCCAATTACTGAGATACACGATCAATCCCAACTTAACTCTTGTGATTTGCGCAAACCACATTCCCCAGTCTTCTTTCCTGTTGCTTGCCGCACCCATCAACCAGGCGCCTCACTGTTCTTACTGTTCCTTCCCGGGATCTTGCCTCACCATGGCCAAATACATCCCTCCCGCCCTCCGTCAGAAGCTCGCTGAGTATCCAGGACCAGAAATGATGGAGCGTACTTACCGCCAAGCTGAGATCCATATGCATTTCGGCTATACGGCGGATGGCGAGCCCGAAGCCCTTCTCATTCACGAAGCTGAAGCAAACGATGCAGACGATGAGGAAGACGGGAAAAAGACCGACAAACGGATCCCGAGCAAATTGAGAAACCGCGGAACGCTCAACGCATCAAAGGCGGACCAAGACAAGCTCGCGTACATTATCCTTTTCAGAGGCGCAAACCCTTTCTGGACCTCCAAGAACGAAATCTTCTGCAAGTCAAACCTCGATCTCCTTCCCGACCCAGCTTCGCTCTGCGGAGAGCCAAACACCAGCGACGGAACCTACGCGACTTCGTACCCTGTGTTCATCCAGACAAAGATATCTGGCCAGGTTGGTGGGCATCTCAAGTTCGCCGGCTACTATGGGATCCAGTCGATTCAATACCTTGCACCACGCTCAAAGGAGGTGGCTGAACTGTTGGAGGTGAAATTTGCAAACAGAGACCGTGATCGAGATAAGTGGATGTCAAGCTTTAATGCTCGGTGGGCGGTTGTTACTCTGGGCTTAGATAAGAGTGGTAAAGAACCGCCCGCGATCAAGACGGTCAAGCGCAGCGTGAATGAGATTTTGACGGCATTGAGGTCCAAGGACACAGATGTGGGGGAGGGTAAAGAGGATGCTACTCATTAATTTGGCGGTAATATCAGGCTGATGGCTTGAAAATTCTTGCGGCTGGCTGGGGACGGCGAGTATCCTGGCTATTGTCACTGTTGATATCTGCTCTGCACCAAAGAGATCTACTCCGTACCTAGTTAGTTAGCTATCTAGAATAGGACTAGCGTGGAATCGTTGAATGACATCATGTGATAACCATCCCGCTGCGCCACCAATGATGGGACTTTGAGGCCAAAACTGCTCAAACACCCATCTTCGCATCAATTTGAGAGGAACGTGTTCTGCATTTGCATTTTCACCTTTGAAATTTCTCATCTCCACTACTCTCGGTGTGAGTTTGACTGAAAATGGCCGCCAACACTCGGTACATGCCCGCTCCTCAGCGGGATTCGCTGGAGGAACCGCGATACACCCAAGCCCCTCCATCGTATCAGGAAGCTCCGGATCCCATGATGGGCGTTCCACGAGATGAGGATGATAACGTCCCTGATGACTTCAAGGTAACTGCTCCTAGCTTTGTTGCGCCATGGCCGGAGACGGAATGAGCGAGTTGCTAACCTGTTCCCCGTGTAGTTTGGCGGCTCGGTGGCAGAGGCGACTCTCCCTATTCGAATGCAGTTTATTCGCAAGGTCTACTCTATCCTGTGAGTCGAGAAACCGCTGGATAGCACCATTTGGTCAAAACCTTTGGCGGAACCAGGATTCTAACCAATATTTCCATGTAGTACTGTTCAACTTCTCGTCACCGCCGCCCTTAGCGGAGTATCCTTTTTCAACAATTCCTATCGCCGATGGGTACAAGCGAATTCCTGGATGATGTTCGTCTCCGTGATCGGTGCACTTGTATTCATGCTCCTTACCTACTGGAAACGCAAGAGTTACCCCAGCAATCTCCTTTTCCTGAGCGCGTTTACCCTTCTCGAGGGCTATGCGATCAGCGTGGTCACCTCGTTCTACGACTCGGCCATAGTTATGCAAGCGCTTGTCCTCACCTTGGGCATCTTCCTAGCTTTGACGCTTTTCGCCTGCCAGACCAAATATGACTTCACGAGCTGGATTCCATACCTATTTGGCGCACTCTGGTTCTTGGTCCTGTTTGGATTCATGTCCATGTTCTTCCAGATGGGCAGCAAGATGGAATTGGTTTATGGTGCGATCGGGGCGCTGATCTTCAGTGGATATATCCTTGTCGATACGCAATTGGTTATGCGCCATCACCATGTTGAGGAGGAGATCGCGGCATCCATCTCACTCTACTTGGATGTCATCAACTTGTTCTTGGCCATCCTGAGAATACTAAACAGCCAGAGCAACAACTAAGTCAATGTGGGGAGCCATCCTGAAGCCAAGCTTCACTGCCGTGTATATTTAAACTCTCGAAGCGATTGAGGACATTGAATACTCTTTTGATATTTTTCTTTTCCAGTTCGACCATATCCTCCCAAGTTTCGGTTTTAGTTTTCCGCCGCTGATGATAAAGCGTTACTTTTGTTTATTAACTTGCTTACATTATTGTAATGTATGTTTTATCAAACTGTTTGCCCCAAGATTCCAAGTGGACATATCAATCAAAGACAAATCACCTATCAACTGTGTTCCTTGTTCCTGACAGTCATCATATCTGCCTCGAAACCTTCATATTTTGCGGGGAACATTCACTTCCATGGACTACATATAGTCTTAAAGAATTACTACCAAGGCATTGCACACAGATCGCTAATCTCGGAACGCCAATAAAGTAGGAAAAGAAATCTTGTATATACAACAGTGGAGAATTCAAGTCGGAATTTATAGAGGAAAATAAGAACGTGACAAGTCAATTAGCCCCCCAATTCGAGGGGGGACGGGGAAGAGTAGCCCCCGGATTGGTTACTACCTAATCTCCAGACTCCAAGGAGGAAATTCTCCCATACAAACCTTTGCTTGATGGGGTTTGACGAAATATCTCAATGAGCAAAAGTAGGAGGAATTCTGAGTCGGAATCCAGCGTGTATTTCTCAAATCTAGAGAAAGGGGATTTTTTCCTTTAGTCGGCGTATTATCATTATAGCCGCCATCCCCCGCGAGGTAAACTGCCAGATTTAAAACGATCACGATTTCTTCGTGGCCAAGAAGAACGTATTCGTGACAAGGCAAACGGTCATAACCACGACTCCGTACACTGCCAGCGCCAAGCTGAGTTTACGGAGAAGGCCCCGTTTCCAGTGTCTTCGATTCCGTCGTAAAAGGCCACTAGACGAGAGAAGTCCGCTTCCGCTGAGGAGGCCGCCACCGACATCCTCATCGACAGAATCATCGGAAAAGTCGTCGGCACCGGCTTCGTCGTCCTCTTTCATGATTCGTTGATGAAGGGCCGATTCCGGCGAGGAGATCTTGTAGTAGAATAGACCGGGGAGGATGAAGCTGATGCTAGTACTTCCAGTGCTCCCCACATACGCGAGGACGGCTTCGAGGGAGGAAACCGTCATTGCGACGATATAACTTAAAACGATGATGACGGTTGTAATGGCAGCAAAGCGGGTGTCGCCCATTTCTTCAGGTTGCCTGTTAGGACGGGGCAAAAGTGGGTTACGGTTCGGCGAGACGTTTGACGAGCCACGGGAGGCCTTTGAATTCCATCGCCATTTCAGGACGGCATCAACGGATGCCCGGCAGGGATGGACCTGCAGGGGGTAGGAGAACATGACTAAAACGACAATTGCGGCACGGGCAATGTTTGAAGATAGGGATGGAGCATACATCCCGACGATGTTCCCTTGGATGGCGTCGCCAAAGGATAGGTATCCTGTGATACCCACGAGGATGTAGGTGGACGCGGCAGTGCCGATACTTGCCGCAATCACACTGGTAGTTCGAAAGTGGCTGTTATTCGAGATCTCATTAAGAATAGAAAACATCTATTATGTTGCAAGATTAGCGAGTTGCTCTGTGTGGGAGTGTCGTGGGCGCATTGCCAGCAAAGGGGTGTGGTGGCTTACATTCTGATGGCAGGTATACGCGAAAACGATGACGGGAAAGACGCTCAACGTTGGTATGATGCCCTCCCATTCAATCACCCTGATGGGACTCCTATTTTCCATAGTGTCCCCTTTAATGAAATGTGCAACGACGAGAATAACGAGATATCCAATCGATATTAGGGCAACAACGCTTGTGTATTTCAACGAGTCCAGTCGACGCAGAAAAGAGATGGGAATGATAACCAACCTACAACGAGCACTCTGTTAGCAGCAGTTCCCAATGTTCATCGGGTTTGGGGAAGCATACATAAAAGCCGTAACCCAAAAATGGCGGTCCAAGAGAAAATCGAAGCCTGTATCTCCCGCAAACCCCATCACCACTCCGGGCATGAGATCGCCGATAATAATCAAATAACTGACGCCAACACCGAAGCATTTGATAGCAATGGCCGCATCAAACAGAACCGCTGCATTTGGATACGTGATCTGGGATAAGGCGAAAAAAGACGCGGATCCTCTCTCCAAATATTCAGCACATCTCGCTTGTAGATACAGCCCAAACCCAGCAGCTAATCCAGACCAGAGTATCACAAACACGCCCAGCGTAATTCCCATCCGCGAAATGGCATGAGGCATCGCTAAAACTCCGGCGCCCACGACTATAAAGTGTTAGCTATCGTGTCCGGCAATGGAGCACGTGTGGATTTCCTCAAACTCACTTGTGTTCAGCAGATTGATAACGCTGCTAACCCAGCTGGCCTGTCCGGCGACGCCGACATCTCGTTTTCCTGTATGTCGACTGATGAGAAAATTAGAGACTGAGGCTTTGAGCGTGAGCCGAATTCGAGAGCAAGATAGCATACCGACGGGAACGGGTGCTGTGGACGCTCCCCGCGAAACCTCCGACTGCTGCCTCATTGTCCATGGCCACGAGCTGACTCCTAGACTTGAGATTACCGTCGTTGGCACAAGGAAAAAGCTCCTTTCGTCCTGGGTGAATGATTGACAGGTTGGTGACAACGCCGGTCAAGCCCAAGGCATCCTGGAGAGAGTGCGTTCAAACGGCCGGAGTTGACCGGTGACAGCGATTCAGCGTCGTGTAATGATTGATAGGTTCCTTGGATATTCGCGACACCTCACGGGTGATTCGGTGGTCTCCGTCTTTTCCTTTTGTTTTTTTTTATCCTGCCAGAATTGTGACGCTGGTCTCGGGATCAGATTGATGGTTTGTCAGGGTCGAGTCTGCGCCAATTGAAACCCCTAAAAATAGCGGCCAACGCCAATCTGCGAGGCCCAGGGATCATGAGCTCCAACACGGAGCTTACATACAAATTGGGGAAAATATACGGAGACATCGTGAGACGCGAGCGGGTTCACGGACTGTCGTGGGCGAGAGTACTGTTGCGAGTACTCCTTTGCGCCAACTACTCCAGCCTAACGGCGAAAGTACTCTGTAGGGCCATCCGGACTTGAGCCTGCGGATGAACTGCTGCGATAAGATCTTTTTGGATCGATAAAAAAATGAACGCTTCCGCACAAGAAATTCTCATCAAAAAGCTCGCCAACTCAATTCGCTACGGCTTCGCCCCAACTACCGGACTGGACTAATGCTAGAAAGCCTTCCTCCGCTGCTCTTTGGTCTCCCATCGAGTTCCCTGGCCTTCCCAGCGGCCCGGGGTCATCAAACATGGACACCTTGCGGACTGATTTTGAAACTTCCAGAATCGTGCCGCCTTTGACAGGAATCACCTCATCACCATCCGTCGGCTGCCCCAGAATAGACTCGCTAATATGGTCTTCCTGAATTAGTGCCAACATAACAGTTGCGACCTCTTCCGGCGTCACCCAGCCGTCCTTGCTCTCGTCTACCATGGCCATTTTATCGGCGCTCTCAGTCCACAAAGGCGTTTTGATATACCCCGGCGCAACCGCTGTGACTCGGATTCCAATCTTATCTAGTTTTGCGAGTGACCGCACAAAGCCGCTGAGAGCATGTTTGGCTGCGACATAGAGGGGCGTGCTCAACGATGCTACTTGGCCCGCGATACTTGAAATGTGAATGATGGATTTGGGCGTTTTGGAATTTGCAAATTTCGCAATCGCTAGCTGCGTTGTGCGGATCGGGTGGATCAGGTTGATATCAAGTTGGGCATACCTGGACCCGGTAGGAGAATCACGGCTTTCATTCGAACCCGGAGGATACCAGAAGCTTGAGGAACGCTTGATTGGCAGACAGATAAGACAGGGCAACCGCGCGGGATCGAGTCTTCAATAGCTTACGCACTGGCTCATAAACACCTGCTCCAGGGCAAACGATATCTATCTCCCCAAATTGTCCTGCTGCGACTTCGAAGAGTTTCTCCAACTGGACCCAGTCGGTGACGTCGGTTGGTTGGAATATGGCTCTAGGATCCGACGTTGAATACTTTTCCACAAGCGCCTTTGCCTCTGGTCGCAGGGCTAGATCTGCCAGCACGCAGTTGCATCCATGTTCAAGTAACAGCTTGGCAAAACAGAAGTTGATACCTTCTCCAACTGTTAACTTTGCCATGCCATATCGAGCCCTGAAAATGGCTTGAGTCTTACCTGAACCAGCGCCCGTCACAATCGCGGTTTTCCCCTTTACTGACTGCGCCATAGACAACAAGTATTCGATAAACAGTTTCGAATAAACACCTCTACGGTTCCTAGTGGCATGAAGCCGTGATATTCAGTGAAGCAGAAGCCGAGGCGGAGATCGAAAGCGGGCGGGGTTTGTTTGTTCAGGAAGGTCAGCCGAGTTGGCCAACACACTTTTGTCAACAATGCCGAACCGTCGATTTCGGCTTCTGCGGCTGCTCGATTTCCTGTTATCTGATGATCAGAACCTTGAAGCCTGGAATATCTTTGGCCAAATGTCTCCCTTTGTCCGAAGAGCAAGCATTGTGTCTTCGGACTCAGCTCAGGTAGGCCTAAGTCGTCTAAGCTGAACAGGACATTCGATCTTCTTTCTCTAAACCATGGCAATGCCGCGAATCTCTCGCTTGTTACCTCTTCGCAATGCATCCACTGTGCCTCAAGCTACAAAGTTTTCTGGGGATATATCTTCTGTTTTCCCCAGTCTGAGACCGGATTATAGGCCAGAAGCCCTTCCTGTTCGCTTCCAAGAGCTCAAGGAGCACCTCTTCCAGCGAAACCCTGACTCGCTGGTGCGGAGCTGGAATCGTCTCCTTTCAAGCCTCAAAGCTGAGGTCAACGAGATCCATGCCAGTGGAAACCAGGTAAGGTTTCAAAACTACCAGGGGCAGCGGCGAGCAGGGTTGAGAGTTCCACCTAGGCTATTCCTTCACTGGACTTCAATGAAGTGAGGGCTGGGAACGTTTCGATTCAAGATCTATCAGAAATTCGACGACGCGGAACTGTGATTATCCGGAACGTATTACCAAAACATCTCGCACTTCAACTCAAGCAGCAGGCAAGAGATTATATATCAGCGAATAGGACCAGGGTAAAGGCGTTTCCGCCGGATTCTCCCACTGTTTATGAACTATACTGGTCTCCATCGCAAGTGGCAGCTCGTTCTCACCCGAACATACTTGAAACACAGCGCTTTCTGCAGGGAATATGGCATTCTTCGGATCCATCTACTCCGGTTTCCATGAGGTATCCTCTGGCCTATGCTGACAGGTTCCGAATACGAGAACCTGGGGATTCAAAATTTTCTCTTGGGCCGCATGCTGATGGGGGCTCATTGGAACGCTGGGAGGATCCTGAATACTCCAAAGTCTACAGTAAAATTCTGGAGGGCTCGTGGGAGGAATACGATGCGTTTGATGCGAAGCATCGTGTTACGGCAAATATGAACTTGTATAACGGGTCCGGTGCCTGCTCGATGGTAAGATTTTTCCAAGGCTGGCTTTCAATGTCAGATACCGGCCCAGGGGAAGGTACCCTCAAGGTTTGCCCAATGCTTCAGCACAGCACAGCATATACGATCCTCCGTCCATTCTTTACTGATTCTTTGAGACCGTCCAATGATTCCACTTTTCCCGGCGCCGTTCCGGGCGCATGCCAGGAATATTCTGAGCAAAGCCACCCTCACCTAGAGCTCTCTACCTCCATGGTTCCTGTGCCACCAGTACATCCAGGGGACTATGTGGGATGGCATTGCGACAGCCTTCACTCCGTCGAGAAGGAACATCGTGGACAAGGAGACTCTAGTGTTCTTTACATACCTGCTGTCCCTCTTTGCGAATCAAATGCGGAATACCTCAGAAAACAAAGAGCTGCGGCACTTGCCTATTCCCCTCCCTGGGATTTCCCCAACGCTGGGGGTCTGGGCGAATTTGGCTTCAACGGCGTCGTCGATTGGCCTGCTCTGACCGATGAGGGACTTCAGGCCATGGGCATGGGCTCAAAGGGTTGGGCAGTTGAGGATGGTATGAGCCAGGGTGACATTGAAGCGATCGGAGTTGGAAACAAAATTTGTTTCAGGCAGGAGTAGGTGCAGTTCGTACGCTTCGGCATGTTTCTTACCGCAACTATATATGGTTTAGGGATTGGAGATCGGCGCTGGTAGTCTGCTTTCATTGATGGTTGTATGTTAACTATATAATAATAATGCGCGTTGATATCTGAGCCATGAGCTGATTATTGTTTATTTCTGGTAAAGCATTGTGCTAGTGGTGTGTGTATCGAGGGTGTCTCTTCGTTCATCCATTTGTTGTGATTCGAGTAGTCTTTGACTTGTCCGCTTGGCCATGTTTCACGCTTGATTGTTAAGGCATATTTAACTAACATGTAAGGATTGGTAGGTTTCGGGTCAAATCCAAAAAAAAATGTCATTCAATTGACTAGTTAAGGTATCATTGCAGAGGGTGACATGGCAAGATTCAACCTCACCCAAGGAAAATATAGAAAGGATGATGACTATATACAGGTTCTCATAAGTGAAGGACAGGAAAGGGAGAGTAGTATGTTACCGCTGAAAATAATGACCGCTATCAACGTCGAGAGGCAGCTGCAAACCCGTCAATATAAAACAGCATCATAGGAGTGGGACACAAGGGACTTACCGGCCGCGAAGAGGGCATAGTTATCAGCATTGCTGAGAGCTTGTTGGGAGTTGAGTCTGACGCACTGGGCGTAACCATATGCGTGGTCCACAGTACCAGGTCTGAAGATACTGGGAGCATGGGCAAACTCATGGACCACAACATATCCCATGTCAGGTGCAAAGCCCTGGTTCACGACGGCAGGAAGCCGCCAGTAAGGAGGGCAGTTGACAACAGCACTTCTTGCCGGGATTGTGTAGGCGATGATGCCTTGTTGACAGGCGCGGTAGACATCCTGGCAATGGTAGGTGGTTCTTCCACCTGAAGGCGATCTGCACTCCTGGGCAATAGCGCTGAAGCGCGCCGCAACGTTCTGACGAACTTGAGGGGAGGTGGTTTTGAAAAACTCCTGGAACCTGTTACCAGCTTGGGCTGCTTGAGCAGCCCGGCTGGCATAACCGGCGGCAGTCTGCAGTGCTCTAGCCAAGGCATTGTAGTAGTTTCCAGTGCAAGTATTGCGATCGATTCGGGTCCGCTTGTCAAGTGTTGCTTCTGGGAGCGCACTTTGGACTTGGGCAGCCTCCGCGCCGTCGACATCGACTGTCATCTCGTCGGTTGAGAAGCTCACGGCACTGGTGACTTTAATTCCTGGACCGGCTACAATTGGGATCACGCCACTGGCAAAGATCTTGTAAGAACCGCCAGCGGAAAGGTCAGACGTCTCCGCAATATCGAACTCAGCTTCAACACTCTCGCCTGGGGCTAGTGGAATAAACGCCTCTTGGGGAAGATCGTCGATATTGTAGTAGCGGTGGATGCCGTTGAACGGGACCAATGAGCCTAGGAATTAGGTTATATTAGGCTGACAGTCAAGAGATAATATGTGTCTGTAGGCCGTACCATCCTTCGCTATTCTCACTTTTTGAGTCGGAGCGTCGTCGAAGAAGGTGTTAAACTTCAAAAATGAGAGGTCATGGTCTGCAGTGTTGGTGAGGACTGCCTTCATACGGGTGTTTCCGACGGAAGTGAGTTTGACTTCAAGCCCTGAATCCGTTGTGGGCAAATCATTAAGGGGAAAGGCCAGCGCCTGGCTAGCCAATGCCAGAACGGAAAGGAAAGAGGAAGAGAAACGCATTTTCACTATAGAGCAAACTGTTCTTAAGTAGATATTTGGGAACGAGGCAGTCAGTCAAAGTTAGTCCTCCAAGGGGGAAAGCAATCGCTTTTATATGGATCCGGCCAGACTGCATCGTTCTTCAAAATATTTACGCGGGGGCCTTGAACGAACAACCGCATCCATCGACGCATGGTCTTCGTAGGCACATCGGCATTGTAGCTCAAGAATAGCTTGTCACCGGAGATGGGACCGGTAATATCCGGTGTAGGAATCCACTGTCGTTCTGCATGTCCATCCCAACATGCCCCTTCCTTGCGAGTATTCCGTGCATGGATAGTTGTTATCAGGAAGATATCGGTATTTGCGACCATGAACGAACATGGCTATCAATGGGAATATCCGTCCGGTTCCTCAATCCTATGATGTGACAAACGGCACATGATAATGGTAGCAATCCCTGGATTTCTCCCGGGGATGAAGGGAGGCTTCAGGCGCCTTTCTGCTTGCCATGAATTCCGTCAGCCGGTTGGCCGCAAACAAAGTCACCGACATTGGGATGATGGAGTCCTTGACCAAGCACAGTCCAGCTCCACCAATTCTGAGAATTGCAAAGGGACTGTCCAGGGTTAACCCTCGAACAAAGGGGAACATGGCGCCTTAAGCTTTTCCCCAGATATTGGCCGACACTTGCATAATGTTGCCGACTTGTGGCGGAAGGTCCATCAATTGGTGAAGGATGTGATTATTGTCAAGGGGCGAAACGGCCCCGTTGATTAATCCTTGCTTCGAGTGGTGAGATGGAATACCACCTTTCTAAATGGGGTCTCCTGAAGGCTGATCTCGCAACCACGGGGTGTGTGCTAGATACTTGGCCCAAACCAAAACGAATCCTCGGCAAGCCGAGGTGGCGGGACACGGATGTGTTTAGCCAGGTCGGCTTGCCATTTGCTGGATGATCAAGACCGGAATCACATCGAGAACGCTTCCTGGCGCAGGGTTCGCAAAATGCGATCTGCACTCACGGAGAAAGGTGGTTGAGGAGTTGTTGTTCGGATGCCGCGAACGGTTGACGAGCGCACCGGTGACTAATCGCTGTCACGTGCAGCCCAGGCCTCAACCTCCCGGACGAGCTGCAACTTCGCGATTCACGTCAAGGTGTGATCCTTCAGCATCCTCGACCCTCAAATGACCGTCACAAGGAGGGGGTGAATAATGCGGCTTCAAGTAGCCTCCCTGTTCTTGGCATCTGTGGTCCGGCTGGCATGCGCGGTAATTGCAGATGAGGCCTACCAGATTGACTACCACCATGCTCTTCTAGGCACTCCCCAAGCTCACACTACCTTTTTCCACAGACCAAGCTCCTCATCCGGTGCGTCCCTCCTTTATTCGCTTTCCGAAAAATCAATTCTTGGGGCAGTGAACCCTAAAGATGGATCGATTGTATGGCGGCAGAATCTGACCGAATACTCCGCGGGAGCTGGCCTACTTCGGGCTGTAGACGGAGAGGATGCGGTTATCAGTGCTTTGGGAAGCGATGTTTCGGCATGGGGCGCATCGGATGGGAAGCTTTTATGGACTAAACGGTTTAACGATGACGCTTCAGTTACTAGCTTAGAGCTCACCAAATCCCATGGTGCAGACCTGCAAGCTGTGCGGGATCCCCATTGTGTTATTTGGGGATCAAACCCGCGTTGTGAGAAGGTTGGACGGTACATCTGGAGATGTAAAATGGGAATACAAAGATAACAGGTAAGTTTCTAATCCTTTTCGACAACCTTCACTACCATTTGCTGATGTTTGACGTAGCGACAACCTCCCTTTCCGGGTATCTATCACCTCAACAGCAGTGTATTACGTTTCCTTACAGCCTGCCTCTCGAAAAGGCTACAAAATAAGTGTTGTGGAATTAGATATACAACTTGGACGTGTGACTAATCAGTACACCCTCCATTCCGAAAACGAGCTTGCTTCCCCCAACCCGACAATATTTGTGAGCAGTAATGCAGCCTCTTCGTTTATCGCCTGGTTGGATCAAGAATTCAAAATCTTAAAAGTCAATCTACTTGGATCTAAGTCCATCCACACTTTCGACGTTGAAAATCACAGCGGGGAAACTGTGCAGGATGTCAAGATCCATACTTCACACTCTGTGCCACATTTCGTTGTCTATTACAACACTGCGACAAAATCTTGGGCCGATGTGTTTCATAGCAACGTTAAGTCTGGATGGGTTTCCAAGGCTTTCCAACTCCCTGTTCTTGATTCGAAATCTGCATCTGCGTCGAATACCGCGAATAACCAACTATACTTTGCTCGTATAACGAGATCTACTGTCGATTTATTTTCGTCGACTGCGGAGAATATTCTTGGAACATGGAAGATAAAAGGCAACTCCGGGGAGCTAGAACATGCGGTATTGGAAGTCGTTGCTAGAGGGTCTGGTTTCGCTCTTCGTTTTGCCCAAGTTGATGACAGTGGAGACTGGGCTCTGATTCGCAACGGTGAGCTCGAATGGCGTAGACCTGAATCATTGTCCGATGCAATCGTCGCTGCTTGGGCGGAGGTAAACGGTGGTGAAGCCCTAGCGCATGAATTGGAGTTTGAGGGCCATCAGGATGCGTTGTCAGCCTACATCCACCGTGTCAAACGACACGCCAAAGCGCTGCAAGACAACTTGTTCCCGTGGCTTCAGGAACTTCCCACTAAAGCCTTATCGAGCTTTTCGGCAAGCGACGGCACCGAATTGACCCAGTTTGGATTTGGAAAGCTAGTGGTTGTTGCTACTCGCAAAGGTCGCATTCTGGCTCTAGACAGTGCCCGTCAAGGTGCTGTACTATGGAATGTCAAGGCTGCTGAGGGTGCTGGAACATGGGGAGCAAATGCCATATCCGCCCACCAAAACGTTGCTACCATCTTCGTAAAGGATGGAAGCACGGTCAAAGTGAACATCACATCAGGCGATATCATCGAAAGGTCCCAGCCGACGGAAAAATATTCGTCCATGGCTTTCATTTCAGATGCCGCATCGCCGATCCCAGTTCCAATCGACGCCGACGGAACTCCACTGAATTCGCATTTGCGAATTGAAGGCGATAAGTTTCTCGTGACACTCAGTAAGGACGGAAAGCTCATGTCTTGGAACACCGCCAGTCTCGAAGCCCCCGCATGGGAGTTTGTTCCGCCAAAGAACCAAAAAATCATCCACGCGACTGCGAGGCCGACGCACGATCCTGTTGCATCGATCGGCAAAGTCTTGGGAGACCGATCCGTTCTGTACAAATATCTAAACCCTAACATCGCGTTGGTATCAGCAGTTGCTGGTTCCACTCTTACCCTGTATCTGCTGGACGGTACTTCCGGCCGTATATTGCATACAGCAACCCAAGGCGGCGTTGATATTACCCAGCCAATAGCTTCTGTTATTTCTGAAAATTGGTTTGCATATTCTTTCTGGGGGGACGTAACAGATACATCCGATGCTAAAGGCTACCGCCTTGTTATATCCGAACTGTACGAGTCGCCGATTCCGAACGATCGTGGTTTATTGGGGAATGCAGCCAACTACTCGAATATTCACAGTAGCATTGGTCTTCCTCGACCTCATGTCATTTCACAAGCTTATATGATCCCGGAGGCCATCTCCAACATGGCAGTCACCGAAACCCGCCAGGGAATCACGATCAGGCAATTGCTCTGTACCCTTCCCGACTCCAATGCTATTGTCGGCATACCACGTTTTGTGCTTGATCCACGCCGCCCCGTTAACCGTGACCCCACCTCCCAAGAAGTCGAGGAGGGTCTGGCGAGATATACTCCTTTCCTCGGTTTTGATCCTCAATGGTATCTTAACCACGCTCGCGAAGTTATGGGCATTAATCGTATTGAATCTAGTCCAACATTGTTAGAAAGTTCGACCCTAATTTTTGCGTACGGATTTGATGTTTTTGGCACGAGATTGGCCCCGAGTCAACCCTTTGACCTCTTGGGTAAAGGATTCTCGAGAATTCAGCTACTTCTTACTGTCGTCGCGTTGGCAGTCGGGGTGGCTATATTGGGACCTATGGTGAGTTACCTGCCCCTTGATCAGTTAAGATTCCCATTGGAGCGGATTACTGACTGAGTATATCCATATAGGTTCGGAGGAAGCAAGTAAATTTACAGTGGAAGGCATAGGAGCTCGGCTCGAACAATTGAATGTCTATTTTGCCGTTTTGCACTTATGTATGTACGAATATAATTCTCAAATTATAGAATTTCATTTAAAAAGACTTTGAATCATTTATCTCAGATGACGCTCCTAGAGCAGGCTAAAGAAATTCAATCTGAAAGACATGGATATTAAAACGACCTTTAAGCGCTTGCGCTGAGCGGAACTTGAAATGCAGGCTGAAATTAGAAAGAAAACCCCGTGCCATCCCTTCACCGTCAATTGTACAATATTATTTAGATCCCAGTGTTAGAAAGGAGATACCTCATGCTTGAGTAGCAAATTCAACCTCACGGGGCCAAGACAAAACGGGACAGGCGTGAGTATCGAATTAAAAGGGAAATGGTAGCTTAGTGCCATCTGAACTTGGCCGCCTCGGCAGCGGCCGCCTGCGAAAACGCCATCCACGACTCTGGTTTGGAGAATGTGCTGCTAATTTTGATCCCTGAGAACTTGCATTCGCTTCCCATGGCGGGAAATCCACTGACGCCAGTGAAACGGAGTGCTTCTTCGGTCTCCGAGAAATCAAGATGGCCCTCGTTGCGTCCGGAGAAGATTTCGTCCTCCCTAGTTTCACGACCCCGCCAGAGAAGATAAAGGCGTTTGCACTGGGTGGAAGAAGTTTTGAGTTTTTTATTTGCGGGAAGCTCGTCATCAACTTCGTCGTTGCCAGCGGGAGCGTTAGGACGTATTGGTTTTTCCCCCTTGGACATCTTTATATATAGGTTCTCTAGCGATTGTTTATCTGCTGCCAGCAGCATCGTACCCTCTAGGATTCCCAAATTAAAACCAGCAACAAACCCATAGCCTTTTGATTCCCCAGGCTCTGTAATGGTCATTTGCATGCTACTAGCAACATCGGGCCAGTCCTGCTCCATGGCCACGCACTGGAGCTCGTAAGTTCCAATAATCCCTGCCAGAGTGTCATCACCCTTAGAGCCGCCCTTTGCAGAATCTTTCCTGGTTGAGCCATTCACTGAACCCGATGGTGTGGCAGAGGGAAACTTCCTAGGCCTTCCGCGGCCCACCTTTGTTGCCGGTTTCGCCTGCTTTGATGTTGCTTCCGCAGTCGCAATGGCGCTGTCACTCTTTCTTGGCCTTCCAGGTCCCCGTTTCGTGGCCACAGTGGTATCCGCATCCGCAACGACGGGAGCTGCTTTTGCCGGCTTCGCCGCACTTTTAGGCGGTCTTCCGCGCTTCTTTGGTGCCAGGGCAGGTTCCTCGTGAGCGGCAGTATTCTCAGACTTCTTTGGCGTATCATCATTCGTATCCTGTGGCTTCGGAAGAGGTGTAGCTGTCGCAGTGATAGAGGACTTTCGTGGTCGACCTCTTCTTCTGGGCTGGCCGGTAGAATCTAGAACGACGGGTTTGGGTTTCGCTGGACTACCCTCCTTTCGCGGACGGCCACGTTTACGTTTCAAGGTCGCACCGGGTTCTTCTGCCATAGCTGCTAGTTAAGAGCGATAGCTATGTATCAGTCTTGGAGGGAGCCTTTGATGATTGTTGTTGCACTGCTGATTGTTCTAGGGAGTAATTGAAAGCGATGGATGGCAATGACAGGCCAATGCTGCGATGGCTGGCTTGGAGGTGATTAGTTAGTTACTTATAGGAGAGAGTTGCTTTTTATGCGCGCGCGTGTTTCTGCCAGTGTTTGTCAAAGAAGCTCGCCTTCACCGCCTTCCATTTTCGGAGAGCTTGCGGCAGCCACATCTGATAACAACAGTGTGGCTGGTGTTTTATCTGATCAACAGCAACAACAGGAGGATAAATGTGCACCACCTGCTGCTATAAGCTGACTCTCCTCTTCAACCCAATCGATCTCGGTTTTCTGAATCGTTTGCCGTTACAGTACTTGTACCCGTTGGCTGCTATCCCTCTCTTTCCAGAGTGGCGTCAATGCTGCTGCCTCATTGATATCCATGGAAACCAGAACTCGTCAAGGTACAGACTCATTGAGTCACATGCGCCCCTTCTATAATTTCCTCAAGATTCTGAGAGGAAACAGTCAGAATTCGCAAAATGAGTTAGGGACTCACCATGATTTCCGTTTGAGAGGATAACTCGACCGTCTGTTAGCCTTTTCTTGAGAACAGGTGCATAAGCAATACCTCTACAAAGATGCAATGAAGTTCGCTCAGCCTGAAGTCGACATCAGACTTTCCAATGCAATACATTTACTCATTGTGAATCGTCTAAATTTAGGCAGATACCATATCTACACTAAGGATTTCCAAGGCTATGACCTGGATAGTGGACACACATTTATGCCTCGAGCCCAGCTTCAGTACGGAGTACCACGGCTTCTTTTACTTGAAGGCACATACGTCATGACAAAGTTACCTTGTCATGAGGACTCAATGATGACAACAGTTCTATGAGTCTCTAGGCAGGCACTAAAAGTGAGAAAGAAAACAGAAAAGCCAGCCTAAGCTGAGCATCACTTTGTTCCTACATCATCACTACTGAAAAGCTCAGATGCCCTTGGCAAAAAGATCACTTGTCTTGTCATGAGGACTCAATGATGACAATAGCTCTGAGAGTCTCTGGCAGGGACTAAAAGTGAGAAAGAAAAAAAGAGTCAGCCTAAGCTGAGCATCACTTTATCCCTACATCATCATTGCTGAAAAGCTCAGATGCCCTTGTGGAAAAGATCACTTGTCTTGTCATGAGGACTCAATGATGATATGAGTTCTGAGAGTCCTTATGGTGGCTGTTTGACCCAACCTTCCATCGGAGTCAGTGCAGCACAATGCTGGGACTTTTGGCAGATAAATTCTGAGCTGTATGGATTGAAGAGGTCATGACTAGTAAGTCGTCGCATACAAGTCTAGCGGACACGGGTGGCACGGCTGGGAGGAGCTGCAATTCAGATGGGTGACTAGTATGATAGGGAAATGCTACAGATCTCGCTATTTATGTCCCTCCCCTAGAGGTGCTATTGCCCTTATAGAACTAGCAGGGGCGGCTCACGCGGTGAAATATTAGCCATAAGGGCAAGCAGGATTCTCAGAATGGAAAGGCATACAGGCTAAGCTTCCCCAATCCGCCAGCAAGGCAGGGCAGATTGACTAACTCAGGAAGCATCACCTTGATACATCTCAATATTCGGCCAGAATGACCGCTAGACGCAACCTTCCCTTCCGCTTACAACTTGTTGAATGGGCAGGAAGAAAGCCAATCGTCGGTAGTAAGGATGCCGCTTTCCCATGTATTCTGGAAGGACAGCACTGATAACTTCTCTTCACAGCGTGATAGAGGCAGCAACATTATCCTCGCGCCTTCAAATACCTTGC